TCTAGAAAACTCATGAAAATCACCGAAAAAAAAATTTTAACACTTTATTACAAGAAATTTACTTTTCTGCTATTTACAAAGAAACGGCTCGGCTGATCGTCGGGCAAAGATGATAAACACTAGTCCTCATCGAGATACATCGAATGGCTTTTAAATTTTTGAAATCGGTCCAATCGTTTTTGAGAAAACGTAGATTTACGGCAAAAAATCTGTTCACACACATACACACACACATACTTTTCCCAAATGTTGATCTCATTCGATTCAGAGTGGCTTGAAACGTCGAGAAAACATAAAATTAGCGAATCGGATTTTTCGATGAAAACATAAACTATTCCTTTGGGAAGTTAAAAATATTGCATAATACTTTAATTTTAAATTGAATTAAAATAATCGGGACAAAAAAACGTCTGAAAAATTTCAAAGAAACAAAAATACTTAATAATAAATTATTTTGTTTATTGGCTAAAAGTGTTCAATTTCAAATTATTATAGTTCAGTTGAGAAAAAAGGGGGAGCCTTCGAATTTTTTGATTGTGTTCCAATTTGCCTGAAATTTTGGAATTAGGCTTAATTTACTTTTGAACTTAAGGGTTAATTCCAAAATTCCATGCAAGTTGGAGTACAGTAAAAAAAAATTTCTCCAAAACGCTCCAATACTATAGTAATTCATTGAGAATTGTTTGTTATTAATAAAAATGTAAAATTTATTAAAACATATTGGTAAAAAAATTATTTTGTTATTAATTCGAAAGGTAATCAAAGTTAAATTTAATTTAGTGACTATCAGTGTTGTTTCTTGTTACTAATTCAGTTGTTTACCAAAAGTATTAGTTTATGCCACAATTTTAGTTTGGTTGAAAGTTGAATTAGAGAAAAATATTATTTATTATATATATATATATATATATATATATATATATATATATAATATAAAATTATTTTTTCCACTCAGACATAATAACACGTTTCTTTTAAAACAATAGCAATCATGAGTACAATGTTTGCACTTGCACTGATAAGAAACTTTTTTAAGGCCACCTTATCAGTCCACCACCAATACCATCAACTTAATAATAATCTTGAATCTACTTCGATTCAATTAATAACAAGAATTAACACTTTGGTCACCAATCAACATGATAATTACCATAAACCAATACATTCGATAATAAAATAATATTCTGGTATAAATTGATCAATTTCAAATATTTCCCTTATAGTACACGACTAGTGTTAGAACAAAATATCGAGTACTGAGTAAATATCAATACTTCGCGGTCGATAGTGAGTACTTTTTGTATCGATTTTTTAGCTCGATATATTTGCCAATATCGATCTTTTACGTCGATAGTACTCAAAAAGAATCGACAGCGTAATCTATGAACCCCACTTATCGACCAACTAGTCATAGTCATAGCCAACTGGACATAGTCTCTCTAGGTGGTCATAATTGTTCAGAGAAGTGTCAAAAAATGATCCCGAAGGGTCATTAGTCTCAGAATTTATTGCTCAAAAACCCAAAATGGATATGACCACACTAATAAATAAAGATGTTTATTTATTACTCTTTTGTAAAATGAAACGCCTTTTTAAAGTACCAAAATGTTTTATAAAAACATATTCAACAATCAAAGTATGATTATTTCAAATAATATAATATTCATCAATTTCAATATATTAGTCTTTTGCGTAAAAAAGAATCGAAATATAATTATTTCAAATAATAATATTCATCAATTTCAATATATTAGTATTTTGCTTAAAAAAGAATCGAAATATAATTATTTCAAATAATAATATTCATCAATTTCAATATATTAGTATTTTGCGTAAAAAAGAATCGAAATATAATTATTTCAAATAATAATACTCATCGATTTCAATGCGTTATTATTTTTCTTTCTAAAAGTATGTGAATTGTAAGTTGAAGTAAAGTACTTGTAAATTAAAAATTAAATAAACAATTTGAAAAAGAACAGAAGAGCAATACTTTCTTTGTGGTACGTGAATCTTAAAATGTCTCGTTTTCAGTTTGTGCACATTATGAACATATTTTAGGAATCGGATTTCAACTGACCTTTTCTGAATGAATGACAACAAAACTTAAGAATACTTTCTTTAGTATAGTGGGCAAAAAACTTTTAGAAAATAATAAATTAATTTGGTTCTTGTGGCAATTGTTTGCACTGAAAAATATTAAAAATATGATTGTGCTTAAAAATACTTAAAAAGTATTGCTTTTTGAATATAGTATCAGACTATTATATTGTGTTAATCAAAAATAATCAACTATTATAACTTGTCTTATTTTTGAAAAATTATAGAATTTGAAATTAGTATTGAAAAATTACTGTTAAAATTTTACAATATTGAAAATGATTCTGATTTAACACATCAGATTACAAGCAATAGAATTCATTCTAATATTGTGATATAATATTTAATGAGTTTTAGATCTTTCTTGCACTTATGTTTGATTTTTATGAAAAGTACTCAAAATTCGATATTGAGTACTATCGATACTTTCGCCACGATATTTTTTTGGCATCGATATTTTGATTAGATACTTTTCAAAGTACTCAATATCGATCTTTTGCCTCGATACTTCTAACACTATACACGACTAGTTCCATTTTTCTTTTCCAAATAATCTATGTCTAGTTTATCTATAAATATAGCAACTAAGACTGAGTTTATTAAATATAGAACACGCTGTATAAATAAATATCTTCTGGCGGATCTAAAATTATTTTAGATCCGGTGAGAAAATCGACATCATCGTGTGCAACGAAATTATGCAGATGCATTCGGAACAAATATAAAACAGACATTTATATATATATATATATATATATATATACTAGATGACCCGACAGAAGTTGTCCTGTTCCCACATCTAAATATTTAAAGATTGTTATTAAAAATATAAAAGTGCTAATATAAAAATTAAAAGTGTACTTATTTACGTCCTTCATTTTCAGTTAAAACTGTCATGATGCATACAAGACTTCATTTTGACTCATTTGCCATTAAAATTTTATGAGTGTAATGTTAAACAAGGATCTGATATTATTATTTATAGATAAATATAATTTTTAAAAAAGTGTTTTATAAAATAAAACAAAAAAATGACTTGTGTCCGAGAAGGAGAATGTTGTGCGACGTCTAAACAAGATGGAATGTCCCTTAAGAAGATGGCGAAGGGTTGCAAGTTGGAATCGAGGAGCAATCGAGGGTTGTTTTTAGATTTATATTTGAGAGTGAGTTTCAGAATTAAATAAAATCAGCAGATCTGTAAAAATTTAATAAATTCTAATTTTGGACAAACGTCGGAGTTTTCTTGCTTTGTCCTCTAATTTTTCTCACATCAGATCTGATAATATCTGTTATATCGGATAGTATCTATTAGATTTGATAGTAGCTATTATCTACTTTAAATTATCTACAATATTGTCTAAGATAATTAAACTCTACAGCATCTATGTATACTTTAAAATAGCAATCAAATATAGACATGGCATAAAAATTGAGTTATTTAACTCACTTCGTTCATTCATATATTTATATCAACCCTCATAACTTTTGAACAGTTTGTTTAACTTCAATTAAATATTTTGCAAATTTGTCCAAAATTTAATAATTTATTAAAAGTATTGCAACTCCCAAACGGCTCGTTTGATTTAAATGCAATATACAACAAATTTGTTCAAAATTAAATTATCTACAATATTGCCTAATATTATACATCCCTACAGCAACGCCGTATACTTTGGAAATAGAAATTGTTCTTGTAAAATATTTCTCTAGAATTGTTCTCGGTACTATATTTATATAGAGGTCGTCGAGACCTTTTAAATGATACCCCACACGACATATTTGACGCGAAACGTTTCGACCCTTCATTTGATCCATCGCACTGGAGCATTTATTCATTAAAAGTATTGCAACTCCCAAACGGCTCGTTTGATTTAAATGCAATATTCAACAAATTTGTTCAAAATTAAATTATCTACAATATTGTCTAAGATATATAAACTCTACAATATCTCTGTGTACTTTAAAATAGCAATCGAATATAGACATGACCTAAAAATTGAGTTAAATAACTAATAAATAATTATTAGAACTAAATAGTTCAGCTTGTTCATTCATATATTTATTTCAACCCTTATAACTTTTGAACAATTTGTTTAACTTCAATCGCATATTTTGTAAATTGTCTAAAATTTAATTATCTACAATGTTGCCTAATATTACATATCCCTACAGCAACGCTGTATACTTTGAAAATAGAAATTGTTCTTGTAAAATATTTCTCTAGAATTGTTCTCGGTACTATATTTATATAGAGGTCGTCGAGACCTTTAAAATGATACCCCACACGACGCATTTGACGCGAAACGTTTCGACCCTTTATTTGATCCATTGCACTGGAGCATTTATTTATTAAAAGTATTGTAACTCCCAAACGGCTCGTTTGATTTAAATGCAATATTCAACAAATTTGTTCAAAATTAAATTATCTACAACATTGTCTAAGATAGTCAAGCTCTAAAGCAACTTCAAAACTGCTATTGAAATGAAACAAAAAATCTGAGCATTTACTTTACCAAATAAACAAAACTTTAAGTTCCAGTAGATCAAGTGCATATTTTTACTTTATCGCTTGTAACTTCTAAACCGTTTGTTTAATTTTAACTATGTTTTCGGCAAATTTGTTTAAAATTAAATCATTGACAATATTGTCTAACATTATTTAGTCCTACAGCAACTCGGTATACTCTAAAATTTAATCGGAAATATAGTAGATGCACAATTTTGCTGCCGCCGTTATTGTAATGAACTCATATTGAAAAAACGACGGAAGCAAAGTTGTACACTAAATAATATACAAATTCATTAATTTATAAGAAATTTAGGCCAAAAAATTACTAGATTTTTTTTTAAAAAAGTATATATAATATTTTATATATAATTAATTTTTTCCCCCTTTTCAGACTGTGTCTGCGGGTTCCCGCACCCGTCCAGACGACCTGGAACCCTGGCACCGGAGTGTGAACCGCCTAAATGGTCACAACGCCATCCCTCAATACCACACCACCAACGAGCAGGACTCGAAATCCCAGAAGAAAGACAAACCCAAATGGTCCCTTGGTGGATTTTTCAGACGCCGCAAAAAGGACGACTCCGACAGCAGTTCCGACGACGAGGACAAAAAGGGTTTCCTGTCCAGGAAGAGCAGAAGTAAACGCCAGACGAATCCAACCAGACTGGCTACAGGGTTTGATCATGTCGTAGTACCTCAAATCCAGTCTGATCATAGTGGTGGTTCGTTCCTGGATGCTAGAGGTTCTAGTAAAGAAAGTTTGGTTAGTGGTACAGGGTCGTTGGAGCGTCACAAAAGGCGCAAGGAACGTGTCAAGGCTCGTGCTGAAGCCTTAAGGGATAGATTGAAACACGAGTCGAGTAGTGATGAAGACGAAACGTCTCCTGGTAGTTCATCCATATCACGTTTTCGCAGTGATGATAGTCTACATGGTTCTTTACCGAGACGTGGTCGCAGATTCAGGAAACTACCAAAGGACGATGAGGTTCCCGGTTTGCGGAATAGTTATAGTTCAGGTGCTATAGTGTCTAAAATCCGTGACGATGGTGTGATGCATGTGCAACTCCCTTTAGGCGTGCATAGTAAAATCACTAAAGGGCCACCGGCCCCCCCACCAAGGGATCATACTAGAAAGTACTTTAATGCCAATCACGATGCGTCCAGGCCTTTATCATACGCATTTGAAACTCAAGACAATAGAAATGCACACAGGAGATCTCAATCTAGTTCCAGGTTAGCACCAGTTCCATCTGAACGTTGCAATTCTGAAGACCACATAGCCTTGAACGAGCAGTATAGACCAAACTACATGCCTGACAGGCCTTCATCAGTGACCACAGAAGTTATCAGACCACAGGTTAAAAGGTTTATCACCAGGCATCCTTCGGAAAACGATGTGGTGGATTCGTCGACAATTGGTCGGTACAAATACTTTGCTGATCAGACGCCTAGAAGTCGCAAACCAATTTTAGCGACACCTTTTGTCGATAACTACGACTCGGTTGCTAAGATGTATCGACCGCCACCTTTGAACAAGGAGTGCAAGTCTGTGCGGAGTGCTTCGGATTTTTGGAGGATGAAGGATCAAGAAGAAACTGCAAGGAGAATGAAAAAAGATTTTGAGAATAATAAAATTAAATACATGGTACGTGATGTACCTTTAAAACCTGATCCCCCAGTTTACAAGTGTACAGTAGAAGTTAAAAAACGTGAACCTCCAGTGCCTCCTCAACGTAAATACACGCCCAACAGGACAAGTTCAGGTTCCAGCAATGGTGATTGGAATGATGTTTGCCCAAGGCCAAAATCAGCGAATTTAGAAGACGCTCTGAGTGAACTCGAAGCAATATACAAAAGTTTGAAACTAAGCGATGAGGATTTACTGGATCGTGCAGAACGTTTAGACGTCACCACACAAGTCGACAAAAAACCTGTACTCCGACGTAGATCCACAATACCTGATAAAATCACCGACGACATGGCCTACAGAAGGCTACACCCTAAAGACAGACAACTCACACAAGAGTGTGTATCACCACAAATTAGTTACTTATCATCATCACCTTTGGCTTCGAGGACTTTTGAATACAACACTCCGACGCAAAATGGTAACGAACCTGATGTCACTTTAGATGATGTTGTTTATCGTAATGTGCGACACGCAAATCATTCTTTAAAGGTAAAAGAACCACAACCACCTTTTGGAATACCTTTAGGACCTGTTGTACCAGGTGCCAATAGCGATTATTTACACGCAGCTCCTAAAAATACATTCAGATTAAGATTCATGCCAAGAAAGTCTCCGGATGTAGTCATCGACGACTTGGCTTACAGAAACTTGCGGAAAGACGTTAACAAAAACTCAGCCTTACCACCTATTAAACCTATAAATGACGACATGCACTACACCTTAAACAACAATTCCTCTTTGAACAATAACATCAGAAAACAGGATGAGTTGGCGACAGCCAAGAAAAAGCGTGCAGTTCGCTCAATGTCTGCAAACGTGTACAGTCTTTTGCACCAACATATGCAAAGTTTGATAGACGATGATGAACAGGATTTTGGTAAAGTCCAAAGTTTGTCTGATGTTAACTATTTTAATAGAGCACAATCCAGGACGTTGCCTGTAGGCGCCAAACTTCAGGACAGGAACCTCAGTAAATCCCCAACGAGTACTGAGACTTTGATCAGTAGCCAAAATGATATCAACACTCGGAAAGTTGAGGATGAATATTTAACAACTTTGGCACAAAAAGCTAAGGAAGCTACTGCTAAAATTGACCAGGAACTGAAAGAACTTAGAAAAGACTCTGTGCCTGAAACCAACAAAATGCAAAAGTCTCCTACGGTGAGTGAAATTTTACGGGAATTAGAACTTGTATCAGAGCAAGCACAAAAGTGCGAAAATAATTTAAGAACATCTATTGACAATCAATCTGAGCCAAGGACTTACACTCTAGTACCTTCTGTAGATAGTGGACATACAACCGAAGACTCTGATGTAGAACAACAAGTAGATGTGGTTGATAACTCAGAAAATTTAGTGTACACCAGTGTTGCATCTTTGTTGGATCAAACTTCTAAACAAGATGAATCAAAATTCAAAGACTTATCAGATAAATGTCAGATGCAACTGGGGAATTTGCAACAGGATTATGATAACGTTCCAAGTACTGTTTTGGAGTTAGGTCAAATAGTTACAGAAAATGATGAAAGTCCTAAGTACACTGCAGCTATTGGCAGTGAAATGAAACGTAAGAAGTCTTTAATGAAGACTGAAGGTGCTGAAAAGTGTGCAGACGTGCAGAGACGTTTAGAAGACATCAACGCAAACGAGACTAAAATCAATGAGATCACTAACTCGATCCAGAATAACATTTTGAGTATAAGTGAGATTTTAAAAAGTTGCCAAGACGATGTTAAAGTCGAACCTCCGAAATCCAGTGACGACGACGACACTCCTGATTACGCAAATATACCACCAAAAACCAACAATCTACAAATAGAAACCGATGAAGAAGAGACATCCGAATACAATTCTGCTGAAGAACTGGCCATGATCTTCGGTAAAGACGGATCCAAATCCAAATCATCGACACCACCTGGCAAATCGCCAGTCGGATGCACCAAGAATTCAACGCCAAAGAGTTTCAAGAAATCTGATTCGAGTTCTTCAGGTGGGCCCAAAGACAATGACAACCTGTCATCATCTTCATCAGCACCTTGGTTCCATGACCCGAGACATGTGTTGATAGTTTGTGCTTATGGACTGGCTTGTCTGCAGCAGTTTTCTGGCTTAGATTTATTTGTTTTGCTAAGTTTAATGTTGGCAGTAATATCGGTCGTTGCTATGCTGATCATCTGACAATTAATGGATCGATGAGATAAAGGATTGGGTAATAAAAATCTAATGTACGTTACGGGGGTACTTCTGTCTCGTTGTCATGGCAACGCTGTCTTGTGCTCCTTTATTGGTAGAGAGTATGTGAAAATGTCTATCCGTTTGCCGTGCGACCAGGCATATTTTACATATAAACAAGCAATGACGAAGATTCTGTTATCGTAACATTCTTCTTTGCTTCGTTCATATGTAAAATACGCCTGATCGCATGGCAAATGTACAGGTTTTTCACGATTTTCTCTACCAAGAAACAAGCATAAGATAGCCTTGCCATAACAATGACTATTTTATGCCTAATTTTCAATTATACCTGAATTTTGTTTTTTTTTTTCTGGACAACCCAGCTGTTGTTTTTATTCCATCGTTTCCATTTGTAAGTTTGTTCTCGATTTTTTTGATTGCTTTTTGCTTGCATAAACTCACTAATGGAATGTTTTTGTTTTTTGTTTTTGTTTTAAATTAATAAGTACTATAGTACTATAGTATTAATATATTAATGAATCATATTATCATGAGTAAAGTTAAAAATTTGCTTGATGATATATGAAGTGAAACTTCCTAATGTGGATGAGAATAGAAAGGGTTAGAAATTGGTTTTTATTTATTAATTAGTGAAAACATTGATTATTATTAGAGCCCTGTGATCCTTGCAGGGGATTCTTTTTGGATTTGTTTTTGGTATTTGGTATTAAAATAATATTAATTTTGTGAATTGTTTGAAAATGGTGGAAGTTGTCTGAAAATGTGGTAAATTGTTTGTAAAAATTGTAAATTGCCTAAATTGCCTATTGTGAAATATCTGAAAATATTGTACATGGCCCGAAGGTGTTGTAAATTGTCTGATAATACTGTAGATTGTCTGTAAGTTGTTTAAAAATGTTGCAAATTATCTATAAATATGTTTTTGTAGATTGTCTGTGAGTTTTGTAGGTTGCTAAAAATGTTGTAGATTGTCTGAAACTGTTGTAAGTTGCCTTAAGAAAATTGTAAATGCTGTGTCTGAAAATGTTTTGAATTGGTCTGAAAAACTTCCCAATTGTCTGATGATGTTGTAAGTCATCTGAATATGTTGTAAATTTTAGTCTGAAAATGCCATGAATTGTCTAAAAATGTTGTAGATTATCTGAAAAAAAAATGTAGATTGTTTGAAGCTGTTGTAAATTGTCTGAAAATGTTGAAGATCGTCTGAAAAAACTGTGGATTTCCTTAAAACTGCTATAAGTCTTCTGAAAATATTGTAAATTGTCTAAAAATGTTGTAAGTTGTCTGTAATTGTTGTAAGTTGTCTTAAGAAAATTATAGATTGTGTGAATATGTTGTAATTTGTTTAGAATTGTTGTAAGTTGTCTGAAGGAAATTGTAGATTGTCTGAAAATGTTGCAAATTATCTGAAAATATTGAAGTTTTCTGAAGGAAATTGTAGATTGTCTAAAACTGATGTAAGTGATCTGAAAATTTCTTAAGTTGTCTGAAAAAGATTCTGAAGTAGATTATCTGAAAATGTTATAGATGAAAAAAATTGTAATTGTTGTTTGAATATTTTGCAAATTATCTGAAAATGTTGTAAATTGTCTGAAAATGCTGTACAATTTCTGAAAGTATCGCGGAATGTCTGAGAATACTGGAAGTTGTTTGAATATTTTGCAAATTATCTGAAAATGTTGTAAATTGTCTGAAAATGCTGTACAATTTCTGAAAGTATCGCGGAATGTCTGAAAATACTGCAAGTTGTTTGAATATTTTGCAAATTATCTGAAAATGTTGTAAAGTTATCTAATAATGTTGTAAATTGTCTGAAAATCTAGCAGATTATCTGAAAATGCTGTAAAATTTCTGAAAACATCGTGGAATGTCTGAAAATACTGCAAGTTGTTTGAATATTTTGCAAATTATCTGAAAATTGTCTGAAAATGTTGTATATTATCTGAAAATACTGCAGATGTCTGAAAATGCTGTAAAATTTCTGAAAATGTCGTGGAATGTCTGAAAATTCTGCAAAGTATTTGAATATTTTGCAAATTATCTGTAAATTGTCTGAAAATGTTGTATATTATCTGAAAATCCTGCAGATTGTCTGAAAATGCTGTAAAATTTCTGAAAATGTAGCGGAATGTCTGAAAATACTTCAAAAATTTGAATATATTTCAAATTATCTGAAAATGTTGTAAATTGTCTGAAAATACTGTAAATTGCCTAGGAATGTTGTAAATTATCTGAATATATTGCAGATTGTAGATTGTCTAAAAATGTTGTAAATTATCTGAAAATGTTTAGTTTTCTGAAGAAAATTGTTGTTTGTCTGAAAGTATAGTAAATTATCTGAAATATTGTAGGTTGCCTAAAGAAAATTGTAAATTGTCTGAAATCCTATAAATTGTTTGAATATATTATAGAGATTTTCTGCAAATTGTTTAAAAATACTGTGAATTGTCTGAAAATTTTGTAGATTGATCGATGAAAATTGTAAATGTTGTGACTGAAAATGTTGTAGATTATCTCACGAAAATTATAGATTATCTGAAGAAAATTGTAGATTGTCTGAAGAAAATTATAGATTGTCTGAAACTTTTGATTGTCTGAAAATCATGTAAATTGTCTGAAATGCTTTAAATTTTGTGATTGTCTGAAATTGTTGCATATTGTATAAAAAAAACTGTAAATTATATGAAAGTTGTCTGAACATTTTTCAGATTATCTGAATTATCGTTGATGCAATTTTCGCAAAAACTTTTAAAATCTCAAGCATATTTTATTTTGGTTAGTTTTGGATGTTTTTATACACGAAAAAGATAACTAAAAAAACGGTAAACATAATTAAGAAAGAAACAATACGAGGTTAATAAAAATCAATTTCTATCCCATCTCCATTAGGAAGTTTTACTTCTTTAGCGAGTAATTAAATTTTTTAACATCGATACAAATTACAAACACTCGTCTGCTATTTTGCATGATTACAAGAATAACTTTAAGCACAATTAATAATGATTAATTGGTAATATATATATATATATATATATATATATATATATATATAATGAATTATATATGTTTATATAATCCAAAAAACTTAATCTTTAGATACCAAGAGCAAAAAGCTGTGATCGAAGATGGAATACAAAAACTGTTGGATGTCTGAGGAAAAGGAAACTGGTATGGAAAGGTTCAGTGAAGTAAGTTATATATATATATATATATATATATATATATACATATATATATATATATATAGAGGATAGATTATTATTATATCGATAACAGAATTTTTTTCTCATTGTCCACAATTTAATGAAAATAATAAGAATTGAAATAATAAAATCTTTCGGTATGAATTTAATAAATATTTATATACATGTTATTGTTACTTAATATTATATAAGAAACTTGTTATTATTACTAGTATAGAGGTAAATACTTTTTATTGATAATGAATATTTAAAAAAATACATTGATGGTTTCAAATTAAATATATATATATATATATATATATATATATATATATATATATATATATATATTAAATTAGGGTGGTCCTTAAATATGGATATTTTCGAATTTCTTTGCTCCCAAGGGCTCAAAATCTTCCAAATCAATAAAAAAATCCTCAAATGTTTTAGCTCTTAACATTAACCATCAAAATTACAAGTCCGCTATCACAGATGGCGCGAGTATTTACTTAATGACATATGTTAATAATGAATATATTAAACTTTTAATTGAATTGCGGACCACATTTATAAATATTAATATTAAGACTTCAAACTTTCGGAGAATTTTCTTTTATCAATTTGGAAGCGTTTGAGCCCTTGTAAGCAAAGAAATTCGAAAATTAGGACCACCCTATTATGTGTATTTCAAAAGTGCCAATCGAATATTTAGAAGTAAATCAATTTATCAAATGCATTTGTATAATATGCAATGTTGTCTCTCTTAGAATATATATTTGTGATATCCTGTTAAATATAAATATAAATAATAATTTTTATCAATAAGTTGTTTAAGAAATCTGTTTGTATATTTTATTTTATATGTTTTAAAATCGTTAAATAGTCATTGTGTGTTTTCGCTTTGTAAAATTGTATTATAATATATAAATATAAATATCATATTTATAATAATTAATTCTAATCTATATGTATATAATTAAAAATGTATTTTCTTTGTTGTTAATACGAAATATATTCACTAGTCTTTATAATAAATGTTTTGCTGATTTTATTAATAGGATTAGAATTAGACGTTTCAAATACTCGGACAGCGTGTCAAAAATGTAAAACGGAACAATGTATAGATTGATATGAAAAATAAGCAGAAAACAAGTCGTATGTTTATATATATATATATATATATATATATATATATATATATATACTAGCTGGCCCGAAAAACTTTGATAAGAAACCATGAAAAGTTATAATATGTATTATTATGAAACTGAAATCATTTAAATTGAATTAACTCATTCAGGTTTCCAAGTTTTTGATATATTGTTATGCAGTTTTTTCATTATTTTTTCAATTTTTTAATTACAAAGCAAAATCTTAATATTCATTTTTGCATTATGTTGCGAATAAAGTGAGATTATGAGAACTGTGTAAAAAAAATTGCATCTTTAGTTTTGTATTGTACTTAGTTTTCACTCAAAAACTTTTGAATCTTTAGATTTAAAATTTTTTTCGTTAAAACTAATTTAAATTCAGATTTCAAATTTAACCTCCAAAAAACTCGTAGATGATTTGTGTTTAACTTCATCTTGATCTGTTGTTTATAAAACAAAATGGAGGAAAAATGTCAAAGTGGTTTATGGATTTATTAAAGTTAAATTCCAAGATAAGTTTAGTAAAAAGGTCAGTGTTAGTGTTAAATCATATTAAACAATAAACGAATTAGTAAATATCGATACATATTTATTATTATACCCTTAGACTTCTCAATTTTCAAACATGTCTGAAGAAACAGATTTTAGCAAAGCAATTAAAATTGAACCGTTCGATGATTATCCTCAAGTGAAACAGGAATTTGATAATTATGACAATACATCAGATTTATATATGGATAATGATATATGTCTGCAGCAATTTCTAAAATCTGAGGTTACAATTGACGAGGAAATAAAACAAGAAACGATTGATGACCAAGATGACGTGGCTAGTACAAACAAAACAGTTTTAGATAAAAATTCTTATATATGTGATGAAGAAGTCAGTAATTCAAGTAATTTAGTGGATAGCACAAACAAATCATTTGAAGAAGTTTCAGCAAAAACTAAAACAACTAATAACTTGAAACAGTATAAATGTGAATCATGCAATAAAACATTCACAGCTAAACATAGCTTACAACAACATGTAATGATTCACACTGGAGAACGGCCTTATGAGTGCAAAATATGCAATAAAAGATTTTTATGGTCAAGTAATTTAAGAAAACATTTATCAGTGCATACTGAAGAACGACCTTACACATGTGAAATATGTAATAAAACATTCAAAAGGAAAACAAATTTAAAACAACATAAAGACGTCCATTCTGGAGAACGCTCTTATGAGTGCAAAATATGCAAAAAAACATTTTTACAGTCTGATAGTTTAAGAAAGCATTTATCAGTTCATACTAGAGAACGTCCTTATGTGTGCGAAATATGTAATAAAACATTCAGAATAAGAAATATGTTAAAACAACATAAAGTGGTCCATTTTGGAGTACGCTCTTATGAGTGCAAAATATGTAGTAAAACATTTTTACGGTTAAGTCATTTAAAAAGACATTTATCAGTTCATACTGGAGAACGGCCTCATGAGTGCAAAATATGTAATAAAACTTTTTCACGGTTAAGTTATTTAAAAGCACATTTATCAGTTCATACTGGAGAACGCCCTTATGAATGTGAGACATGCAATAAAACATTCAGAACAAAACCTTTATTAAGGCAACATGAACGAAGACATATTAGAGAACAAACTGTAAAAAAAGAACAGTCAACAAAACTGTTGAATCAGTCTAGAAACTGTCCTACCTTATAATCGTTATGATTCACTCAACTTATATTTATGCACTGGATATTAATTGCACTTTATTTAATGTATATTTAAGTCACAACTTTGTTTATTACTCATAATCAGTGTATTGTATGTAATTGTTTAATAATATCAAAACATATTACAAATGCTATTTATTTTTGTTTTATTCAAAGCCCTAGTATTTTTGTAAAATCCTACAATATCATTATATTATTATTAACTTCACAAAATATAAGCATGATTTAAAGGGGCTCTACTGCAATAATTAATTCGTTTCTTAATATATTTTAAATTAAAACTTTTTAGGTGAAACTAAAATTTTGTATATTGTCTGTAAATTTTGTAGATTGTCTGAAGAAAATTGTAAATTGTCTGAAAATATTGTAAGTTGTCTAAAACTGCTGTAAATTGTCTGAAAATTTTGCAGATAGTCTAAAAATATTATAGATTGTTTGAAATTGTTACAGGTTGCTTGAATATTCCGTAAATTGTCTGAAAATACTGTAAAATATATATGAAAATGCTGTAAATTGTCTGATAATGTTGTTAATTGTCTGAAAATTCTTCAAATTGTCTACAAATGTTGCAAGTTGTCTGAAAATGCTGTTTATCATTGTCCAAAAATTTCGCTGGTTTGAAAATGCAACTGTTTCTTGTCCAAAAATTTTGTTAGTTGATTAAAATGATTGTAAATTGCCCGAAAATATTGAAAAATTCCTGAAAATGCTGTGAATTGTTTGAAAATGCTGTAGAGTGTCTGAAAATATTCTCAATTGTCTGAACATGTCTCTGAGTATTTGAAAATGCTATAAATTATCTGAAAATATTATAAATTGTCTGAAAATTTTGTATATTGCCTGAAAATGTAGTGAGAAAATAATGTAGATTGTGTGAAAATAATTGTAAATTGTTTCAAACTCTTCTAAGTTGTCTAAAAATATTGCAAGTTGTCTGAAATAAATTGTAGATTGTTTGAAAATTTGAGATTGTCTGAGAATTGAGATTGAAAATATTTGAATATTTAAAAATTGTCTGAAAAAAATTGTAAATTGTCTGAAAATGTTGTAGATTATCTGAAGAAAATTGTCTGACAAAAATTGCAAATTGTTCGAAGAAAATTGTATATTGTCTTATATATGTTGTAAAATGTTTGAAAAAAATTGTAGATTGTCTGAAAAAAATTATAGATTGCATGAAAATTCTACAACTTGTCTGAAAATGTCATAAGTAATCTAAATATGTTGCAAAATGTCTGGAAATGTTGCAGATTGTCTGAAAATCCTGTAAATTGTCTGAAAATGCTTATATTTTTTTAAAGCAGATTGTGTGAAATTATTGCTTATTGTTCAAAAATACCGTGTATTATATAAACATTGTCCGAACATGTTTTAGATTTTTTAAGAAATTTGTGAATCTAACTTGAATTACCATTGATACAATGTTTACAAAAACTTATAAAATCATTCATCTCGAGCAGATTTTATTTTAGTTAGTTTTTGATATTTGTCTACTCGAGTAGATCGTAAGTAGTTTTACGATCGTAAAAATTATAATATGTTTGTCGTTGCAAGTCTCAGCATAATCTGAAACTGAAAAATATGAACATTCACTTTTCAATTATATTGCGATTTCAAATTAGCCGCCGAAAAACACGCAGCTGATTTGTGTTTAACTTCAACTTGATCTGTTGTTTATAAAACAAAATGGAGGAGAAATATCAAAGTGGTTTATGGAACTGTTAAAGTTAAATTAGAAGATAAATTTAGTAAAAACGTTAGTGTTAGTGTTATATCATATTAAATAATTAACGAATTAGTAAATATTTAAACATATTTATTATTATACACTTAGACTTCTGAATTTTTAAGAGCTCATCACCAGTTTGTTTATTATAACCTACAAACTTCAAACATGTCTGAAGAAACAGATTTTAACAAAACAATTAAAATTGAACCGATCGATGATTATCCTCAAGTGAAACAGGAATTCGATGATTATGAAAATACATCAGATTTGTATATGGATGATGATATATGTCTGCAGCAATTTGAAAAATCTGAGGTTACAATTGACGAGGAAATAAAACAAGAGACGATTGATGACCAAGATGATTTGACTAGTACAAACAAAACTGTATTAGATGAAAATTCTTCCCCAATTAACGAAGAGATCAGTGAATCAAGTACGATAGTCGATAGTACAAACAAAACATTTGAAGAAGTTTCAGGAAAGCGTGAGACAACTAGTAAGTTAAAATATAAATGTAAATCATGTAGTAAAACATTTGTAGCAAAATGTAGCTTAGACCGACATGAAAAGATCCATAATATGGAACTTTCTTATGAGTGCAAAATTTGCTATAAAACATTTTCACAGATAAGTAATTTAAGACGGCATTTATCAATTCATACTGGTGAACGTCCTTACGCATGTGAAATATGTAATAAAACATTCAGAATGAAACAAGGCTTGAATCAACATAAAATTGTGCATACTGGAGAACGTTCTCATAAGTGCGAAATATGCAAAAAGACATTTTTACAGTTAAGTGAATTAAAAACACATTTATCAGTTCATACTGGAAAATGTCCTTATGTATGCGAAATATGTAATAAGATATTTTTTTATTTAAGTAAGTTAAAAGCACATTTATCAGTGCATACTGAAGAACGCGCTTATAGTTGTGAAATATGCAATAAAAGCTTCAAAACAAAGCTAACCTTAGGTAGTCACATAAACACCCATTCTGGAAAACGCTCTCATGAATGCAAAATATGTAGTAAAACATTCAAAACTAAACATTTATTAAGGCAACATGAAAGAAGACATACTAGAGAACAAACTGTAAAAAAAAACAGTCAACAAAACTGTTGAATCAGTCTAGAAACTGTCCTACCTTATAATCCTTATCAATCACTCGACTTATATTGATACAGCATATTAATTGCTCTTTATTTAATGTATATTTCAGCAGCAACTCTGTTTGTTACTCATAATCAGTGTATTGTATGTAATTGTTTAATAATATCAATACATAGTACAAATTCTATTTATTTTTGTTTTATTCAAAACCCTACTATTTTTGTAAAATTCTACAATATCTATTATTATTAACTTTGCAAGGCACAATATAAGAATGATTTAAAGGGGTTCTGCTGCAATATTTAATTTGTTCCTTAATATATTTTAAAATAAAACTTTTTAGGCAAAACTAGGGAGTAAATCTGATTCATCATTCCCTCTCGATGATATCATTTCAATACGGGTCGATTGCGATTGGTCGTCGTGTCGCGTGAGTATGATTGCTTTAATTGTATGAAAATAATAAAACAAATGAAAAATCCGTGCCGTGTAAGAAACGTAAGTTTATTGAAGTAATTTGTATTATTTGTGTGTTTTTTTTTAGATTTTTTATTTATTTATTTATTTATTTGATATAATTCGTACATACTATATCTCAGTCAGACAATTGTACTGGCATGAGAGATCACAGCAATTATAACAAAAATAAAATCTAAATTTTATGTAACAGACTTACATTTTAAGACATTTATATATTTTTACTTATTACTATATTATACACACATATATACACATACGTGGTTACTATATATTTTAGAAATTATTTCTATGGGCAAGAACATAGTGCCAAAATTTTTAACCAGATAAAATGTCAAGATTATTCATTTTAAGGATTGATTCTGATCTGGTTTTATAAATTCGCGGATCATTTTCTATGAAATAGAGTAATTCATTTTCTAATCAAACTTATTATTCCTGGGAGTCACATTGAAAATTTTATTGATGTAATGTATTTTTAACTATGAAAATTTAAAAATGAAAATTTTTCCATTTCTCTACGTTTTGAAGGTTTCTGAACATTTTACTGGCATACTTCAGAAACTAAATGAATATGTGTGTGTGTGTTTGTTTTGTATGTCCGCATTTTTTCGTCCACGTTTTCGGGCGCACGGATCAACCGATTTGAATGATTTAAAAAACATTCGATTCCTATTAATAGGGAGATGTGCTAATTAGTTTTTGGCAAAAGCAGGTCCAGCTGTTACGGAGATACGGAGCAAAGAGTGCAGGAAATAGAAATCGACTTTTTGAGAGAACGGAGTATCGGATTTGAATGAAAACATTTGTTTCGTAATGACGGGGAGAAGTGGTGATTAGTTTTTGGCAAAGGTATGCCCAGCGGTTTCGGAGATACAGAGCTAAATGTTAAAAAAATGGCAGTTTTTGAGAGAACTAAGCGTCCGATTTAAATGATTCAAAGAACTTTCTGCTTGTTTCAACAAAATAATTGCTTTTGGAAAAAAAATTTTTGTTTCTAATTTTTTTTTCAAAAAATATTTTTGTAATTTTGGATTAAAAATTCAAAAATTTACCCGGGCTAAGCACAGTCTAAGCGATACTCTGGTACAAATGTTTACCCAAGTGCGTTTAGACTGTTTATATACCGGAGCACTTTTCCAATTTTTTAAAAAGTATTGAAAAATGTGAAAATGCCGCAAAGCCAAGCACAGTATAAGTGAAAATGTCGCACAGAATTGTTTGCAAATGCGTTTAGACTGTGACTATACGGGATCACTTTTTCAATTTTGTGTAAATTAGGCAACTATTTTTTTTTTTAAATTGAATTCGAAATGACATGAGGATTGTTAATGTTCGATCTGGAGATAAATTGATTTATGATTTACATTTAATTTTGCTCAGATATAACAATAAGATAGCAAAAATAATGAAAGTTACAGAGTATTTGTAATAGTATATTTGAAAACGTTTAACTCGAATATTTCATTACGGTACGGGGGAAGTTACAGCAATTTGCCTTAAGGCACGATGCCATACAACACTAGTTTATTATTGAATTGGAAATATTAGGTCTTCAGTAGTAAATCTATTCCAAAAATAAATGTTTCGAGAGATAGTGAAGAGTATTCTACAATTTGCAACCATCTACTTTCGATAATAACAACGATTCTTGAAATCCTTTAAACAACCTACTACTGGGTGAATTAATAGTAACATTGTTTAAAATTTCGGAAAAAAATTTAGATAAATTATATATAATTACTTACTTAATTACTTACTATAGTAAGGCGAATCAATGTAAGAAACTATCGGTCTGAAAGGGCAATTGAGTTTATGTATTTTGAGAAGACTGTATAATTTAGGAACTAGAGGGTTCCTTTTAACTTTAAAGCAAAAGAATTGTTGATGTGTCATTTTTTTCCCTAAAGATTGATGTATTTAAAAGCTTGTTTATGATGGTAATTGTTAGGATCATTCGGTAGCTCCTCATACATTGTTTGATCTTCTAGTATGTTTATTGCTTCTCTTAACAGAATTACTGAAATATTTCCTTTGCATAAAATTAATTGGCTATTCTCTTTTAAAAAGTTTTTTGCAGCTTTTATGTCTTGCTGATGAATATATGCCAAATTATTTTTATATTATAAGTGATTCGTAAGTAATCACAAATTTAAAAAAGAAATCATTGAAATCGGTGAGTGTCTAATCATAAATTTATGGAAAAATTTCAAAGAAAATATTAAGGGTTCATAGCAATTTCCCAATAGTATGTGACCAATGAAACCATTCCTAAATACGCTAATCATAGAACATGTTAAAATTTTAGGAAGGTAAATAGGACGTAATACCAAACAGGCTATAATAAATTTATAAAAGTCACTTGGTTATTCATTATAAATTTTGTAATCTCATTTATTCAAATCTTTAATTATTTTATTTTATTTATTACTTAAGTTTTAAAAAACATTTTAACCAATAGTATTGATCCATCATATTCAAATTTCAATCCGGATTTTATTTATTTTTGGATTGATATGAATTTTTTATAACAAAAGGTTTGAAATGTTGGTTGTCAAACGGATTCAAATTTCAATCAGGTGGATTTTAATAAGGGCCGTCGCAACGTGAGGCTGGGTATACTAGTATATATATATATATATATATATATATATATATATATTTGTCCTCCCCTCAAAAACTCTTGTATATTCAGATTTTATATCTTTGTTGAAACTAATGATAATTTAGGATTTCAAATTTTGCCGCCGAAAATCTCACAGCTGATTTGTGATTAACTTCAGCTTGATCTGTTGTTTATAAAATAAAATGGAGGAGAAATGTCAAAGTGGTTTATGGAATTATTAAAGTTAAATTCGAAGATAAATTTAGTAAAAAGGTCAGTGTTTGCATTATATCCTATTAAACAATAAACGAATTAGTAAATATTGTAACAGATATATTACTATACACTTAGACTTCTCAATTTTTAAGAATTCATCAAAAGTTAGTATATTGTAAATAAACTAACCTCAAAAATGTCTGATGAAATTGATTTTACCAAAACAATTAAAACCGAACCGTTCGATGATTATCCTCAAGTGAAACAGGAATTTGATGATTGTGAAAATACATTAGATTTGTATATGGATGATGATATATGTCTGCAGCAATTTTTTAAATCCGAGGTTACAATTGACGAGGAAATAAAACAAGAGACGATTTATGAGCAAGATGACTTGACTAGTACAAACAAAACAGTTTTAGATGAAAATTCTTATATATGTAACCAAGAGATCAATACATCAAGTAATTTAGTGGATAGCATGAACAAATCATTTGAAGAAGTTTCAAGAAAAGGTGAAACAACTGATAACTTGAAACCCTATAAATGTGAATTATGCAGTATAACATTTACAGCAAAACGAAGCTTAGTCCGACATGAAAAGATCCATAATGGAGAACGGCCTCATGAGTGCAAAATTTGCAATAAAAGATTTTCACAGTCAAGTAATTTAAGACAGCATTTATCAGTTCATGCTGGAGAACGTCCTTATGTGTGCGAAATATGCAATAAAACATTCACAGCAAAACATAGCTTAAAACAACATGAAATGATCCATACTGGAGAACGGCCTCATGAGTGCGAAATATGCAATAAAAGATTTGCACTGATAAGTAATTTAAGAAAGCATTCATTAGTGCATACTGAAGAACGACCTTATGAATGTGAGACATGCAATAAAAAATTCAAAACAAAAGAAACATTAACTCAACATAAAATAGTACATACTGGAGAACGCTGTCATGAGTGTAATATATGCAATAAAAGATTTTCACAGTCAAGTTATTTAAGAAAGCATTTATCAGTTCATACAGGAGAACGTCCTTATATTTGTGAAATATGTAATGAAAAATTCAGATTGAAAGAATACTTAAAACAACATGAAAAGATCCATACTGGAGAACGGCCTCATGAGTGTAATATATGCAATAAAACGTTTTCACATTCAGGTAATTTAAGACAGCATTTATCAGTGCATACTGAAGAGCGACCGTACGCATGTGAAATATGTAATAAAACATTCATAGCAAAAAATAGCCTAAAACAACATGAAATGATCCATACTGGAAAACGGCCTCATGAGTGCGAAATATGCAATAAAAGATTTTCACAGTCAAGTTATTTAAGAAGGCATTCATCAGTGCATACTGAAAAACGATCTTATGAATGCAAGACATGCAATAAAACATTCAAAACAAAACCTGTATTAATGCAACATGAAAGAGGACATACTAGAGAACAAACTGTAATTTAAACAGTCAATGTTAATTGCACTTTGTTTAATGTAAATTTCAGTTACAACTCTGCTTGTTACTCCTCACCAGTGCCTTGTATGTAATTGTTTAATAATATCAATACATAGTATACAAAACCTATTTATTTTTGTTTTATTCAAAGCCTTACTATTTTTGAAAAATTCTACAAGAAAGAAGTTTATGATTTTCACCAGAAAATCCAATTTGTTAATATGTTTACTCAATGACAATGGATAACCTAAATATACAGTAAAATCTATTTATTTATGGGGGATACATTCGAACTAGCTGACCCGGCCAACATTGCTTTGTCATCAAAAATATTTTGCCGTTTTGCAGTGGTTCTTTTTATTTGAAAATGGATTGAAATTCGAATCTGATGAATCAACATTGATCAATACTATTGATCAAAATTTCCTTAAAATTTATTATAATAAAAAAATAAAAGAACTATAAATTAAGTTTATTAATGGCTTTGTCGTTCGTCTTGGTCGTGCTGTAATTAATTAAACTTCACTTCACCTAAAAACTCAAATATCAACCGTACCGAGTTTTATAGTCCACTTCAATGTTTATGATACTAAACACTCTATGCCTACTCTGTTTATGTATATATGTTTCTCTTTTGTTTTGTGTCAAACAAGTGATTGTTAATAATATTTGTAATGCATGTGTTTAGTTAAAGAATATATAATCAGTCAGTCTGTTTTTATCCTTCTGCATAAACGGTTGTATTATTATTCACATGAACTCTTTGATTCCCGCAAGTTCATACATATTTTATATGGTTTTAATGAAAAGATATATATATATATATATATATATATTATTCGTTTTCTCTCAAAAACTTTTGTATGTTCAGATTTTATGTTTTTCTGTTAAAACTAATAATAATTTTGGATTTCAAATTTTGCCACCGAAAAACTCGCATTTGAAATGAGCTTAATGTTGTCCAACCTGATCACTCGTTGATCAAAACAAAATGGAGGAGAAATGTCAAAGTGTTTTATGGAATTATAGGTTGAATGAGAAATTTAAAATAATAGTAAGAAGGTCAGCAAGGTCAGTACTAGTATTATATCATATTAAATAGTAAACGAATTAGTAAATTTCGAAACATATTATTATACACTTAGACTTCTCTACTGTAACCAAACTAGCCTCAAAAATGTCTGAAGAAACAGATTCTAACAAAACAATTAAAACCGAACCGTTCGATGATTATCCTCAGGTGAAACAGGAATTCGATGATTGTGAAAATACATCAGATTTGTATATGGATGATGATATATGTCGGCAGCAATTTCTAAAATCTGAGGTTACAATTGACGAGGAAATAAAACAAGAGACGATTGATGACCAAGATGACGTGGCTAGTACAAACAAAACAGTTTTAGATGAAAATTCTTATATAAGGGATGAAGAGGTCAGTAATTCAAGTAATTTAGTGGATAGCACAAACAAATCATTTGAAGAAGTTTCAGCAAAAACTAAAACAACTAATAACTTGAAACCGTATAAATGTAAATCATGCAGTAAAACATTAATATCAAAACATAACTTAGACCGACATGAAAAGATCCATACTGTGGAACCTTCTTATGAGTGCAAAATATGCTATAAAAGATTTTCACAGATAGGTGGTTTGAAATGTCATTTAACAATTCATACTGGAGAACGTCCTTATGTATGTGAAATATGTAATAAAACATTCAGAATAAAAAATTTGTTAAAACAACATAAAACGGTCCATACTGGAGAGCGTTCTTATGAGTGCAAAATTTGTAAAGAAAAATTTTTACGATCAAGTCATTTAAGATTACATTTATCAGTGCATACCGGAGAACGTCCTTACGCATGTGAAATATGTAATAAAACATTCAGAATGAAACATGGCCTAAATCAACATAAAATGGTCCATACTAGAGAACGTCCTTATGAGTGCAAAATGTGCAATAAAAGATATACACACTCATTTGATTTAAGAGAGCATTTATTATTGCATACTGGAGAACGACCTTATGAATGTGAGACATGCAATAAAACATTCAGAACAAAACGATTGTTAAATCGACATGGAATGATCCATACTGGAAAAGGCTCTCATGCCTGCAAAATATGCAATGAGACATTTTTTCATTTAAGTAGGTTAAAATCACATTTATCAGTGCATACTGAAGAACGCGCTTATAGTTGTGAAATATGCAATAAAAGCTTCAAAACAAAGCAAGTCTTAGATAGACACATAAACACCCATACTGGAGAACGCACTTATGAGTGCAAAATATGCAATAAAATATTTTATCAGTCAAGTAATTTAAGACATCATTTATCAGTTCATACTGGAGAAAGTCCTCATGTGTGTGAAATATGCAATAAAACGTTTTCACATTTATGTAATTTAAGAACGCATTTATCAGTGCATAGTGAAGAACGACCTTACGCATGTGAGACATGCAATAAAAAATTCAAAACAAAAGAAACATTAACTCAACATAAAATAGTACATACTGGAGAACGGCCGTATGAGTGCAAAATATGCAATAAAAGATTTTCAATGCTAGGTTGTTTAAAACGGCATTCATCAGTGCATACTGAAGATCGACCTTATCCATGTGATATATGCAATAAAAGATACAAAACAAAAGATATATTAATGCGACATGAAAGAGGACATACTTGAGAACAAACGGTACAAAAACTGTCAACAAAACTGATAAATTAGCCTAGAAACTCTCTGGCCTTATAATCCTCATCAATCACTGAACTTATATTGATACATGGGATATTAAATGCAATTTATTTAATATATATTTCAGTTACAACTATGGTTGTTACTCCTAACCAGTGCCTTTTATGTAATTGTTTATCAATTTAAATACACAGTACAAATGCCGTTTATTTTTGTTTTATTCAAAACATTACTATTTTTGTTCTTCAATTCTTCAATATTCTTAGTAAAACTCCTTTAGGCGCGACTAGAGTGTAAATCTGTTCAGATGCAACGGAAGAGCGTTACGGCCGAGTCGAGTGTGAATGATTCGTCATTCGCTCTCGATGATATCATTTCTATACGGGTCGATTGTGATTGGTCGTCGTGCCACGTGCGAGGGCGTACGCCACATACGTAATTAAATCTTAAGGTTACGTCCTAGTAGAAATCTTGATTTGATTAAAAAATATGTGGATCGGTAGAATAATTTATCCCGTCTTCAGTAAATAATTTTAATGAAAATAATTAAACAAATGAAAAATCTGTGCCGTATAAGAAACGTAAGTTTATTGAAATAATAGCTTTATTATTCGCGGTTAATATATATTTTTAGAAATTATTTTTATAGACAAGAAGGCCAGTTTATTTTAAGGATTGATTCTGATCTGGTTTTATAAATTCGCGGATCATTTTCTATGAAATAGAGTAATTCATTTTCTAATCAAACTTATTATTCTTGGGAGTCACATTGAAAATTTTATTGATGTATCATATGTTTAAATAAAAATTATCAAATTTATAAGCCTTTTTGAAGAAATATTAAAGCTCTGTTCATTTTTTATAACTTTGTCAAGAGGAATCTTGAAATAGATACATTAGTAATATAAAATAATATCTTAGTTATAAGATTTTTTCCTTACTTGATTTTTTCAACTTCCTGATTGAGAACTTTATGGTTTTGCCAGAAATCTGAATTTCTCCTTTTGTGATTTGACGATTTTTAAGTCATTCTGAATCGTTTGAGACCAAGTTTGGAAAAAGTATGTGTGTGTGTATAGTAGAATATTAGAGGCCTGTGATAAGTAGTTTAATTATAAGAATGAATTAAAGTTTAAAAATTGAAACATAGTTTAGATTAATCGAATGGTTTCAAAATTGCGCAAGAAAATGCAAAATGGTAAATTTGTCAGTTTTAATACTCATTTCAGTTGTATTTTAGAGTAGAACGAATTGATCTAGTGATCATTGATATAATATAATGTTGAAATGCCTTATAAATAATATATGTATTATATGTGAAAATGTCTATCTATTTGCTGTGCGATCAGGCGTATTTTACATATAAACAAGCAAGGAAGAATGTTATGATAACTGCACCATCTAGAATTCCCTTATCATAATTTATTCCTTGACGTGTTTGTATGTAAAATACGTCTGAGGTAAATAGATAGACATTTTCACAGTTTCACTACTAATAAACAAGCATAAGATAGCGTTGCCAGGACTGCTAAATTATGATGCCTCCATAATATTAAACAAATTTATTATAAATTTCTCATTGTACTTATAAATCTTTTCAATCTAATAAAAGATCATTTGAAGCAATCTAACAATAAGAGTAAAAGCCGCACTTAGTATCAACCTTGTACTATTTAAGGATACAATAAAAATTTGTTTATATTAACTTAATTTCATCTTTGGCCATAGTTACTGACATTTTTCTGCTTTCAAAGCCTTGTATAAAACTCTGTTCTCATAAAGCTTCGCAATAATTAACTTTATTATGAAATATCACTTTTCTTGTGCGAGTCTTGCCACTGACTTTAAAGCATTTATGCCAAGCAGTCAGAAATTTGATTTACCTATTTTTTTGGTAATTTTCGTAAATTGGAATATAGAAGTTTAAAATAATTAGTGAAGGGCTACTGGGATCTCAAAGAATTGATGCATCCCGCAATATTCTCTTTCATAATGTTGTTGTTAGATTTATATAAAGTTTATTGCATATATCATTTTCAGATTATAATGGGTAGTTGTAATTTTATTATAGCTATGAGAAAAAGTCAATAAAGTCAAAAGTCGGCAGAAAAAACATAACTCCGGCACCAGGAAAGCAAGGTTGAAAACTAAGACCGTCGCGGCCACACCGGGACACCTTATTATTCTAAATCTAAAAAGCATTTTTTTTGTTAAATGTTTTACCGATACATTACATTAAAATCAACAACATTTTCAAATTGCCCCCCTTGAAATTACAAATTGCCCCTTCCTTCACATAAAATTAATTGGCTATTCTCTTTTAGAAAGTTTTTTGCAGGTTTTATGTCTTGATGAATTTGTGCCAAATTATTTTTTTAATTGATGTTATGTTTATTTGTATTTATACATATTTATAAATGAATAAATAAATATATATATATATATTTGTCCTCCCCTCAAAAACTCTTGTATATTCAGATTTTATATCTTTTGTTGAAACTAATGATAATTTAGGATTTCAAATTTTGCCGCCGAAAATCTCACAGCTAATTTGTGTTTAACTTCAGCTTGATCTTTTGTTTATAAAAGCAAAATGGAGGAGGAGTAATGTCAAAGTGGTTTATGGATTTATTAAAGTTAAATTCGAAGATAAATTTAGTAAAAAGGTCAGTGTTTGCGTTATATCATATTAAACAATAAACGAATTAGTAAATATTGTAACACATATATTACTATACACTTAGACTTTTCAATTTTTAAGAATTCATCAAAAGTTAGTCTATTGTAACTAAACTAACCTCAAAAATGTCTGATGAAATTGATTTTACCAAAACAATAAAAACCGAACCGATCGATGATTATCCTCAAGTGAAACAGGAATTTGATGATTGTGAAAATACAGCAGATTTGTATATGGATGATGATATATGTCTGCAGCAATTTCTAAAATCTGAGGTTACAATTGACGAGGAAATAAAACAAGAGACGATTGATGACCAACATGATTTGACTAGTATAAACAAAACTGTTTTAGATGAAAGTTCTTGTAATTTAGTGGATAGTATGAACAAATCATTTGAAAAAGTTTCAGGAAAAAGTGAAACAACTGATAACTTGAAACCCTATAAATGTGAATTATGTAATAAAACATTTACAGCAAAACAAAGTTTAATCCGACATCAAACGATCCATACTGGTGAAGGTCCTCATATTTGCGAAATATGTAATGAAAAATTCAGATGGAAAAAAAATTTAAATAAACATAAAGTGGCCCATACTGGAGAACGGCCTTATGAGTGCAAAATATGCAATAAAAGATTTTCACAGTCAAGCAATTTAAGACAGCATTTATCAGTGCATACTGAAGAACGTGCTTATGATTGTGAAATTTGCAATAAAAAATTCAAAACAAAACAAACATTAACTCAACATAAAATAGTACATACTGGAGAACGGCCTTATGAGTGTAATATATGCAATAAAACATTTTTACAATCTGGTAGTTTAACACAGCATTTATCAGTGCATAGTGAAGAACGTCCTTACGCATGTGAAATATGTAATAAAACATTCAAATTGAAAAAAATGTTAAAACAACATAAAGTGCTCCATTCTGGAGAGCGCTCTCATGAATGCAAAATATGCAATAAAACATTTTCACATTTTGGTAGTTTAACACAGCATTTATCAGTGCATAGTGAAGAACGACCTTATGCATGTGAAATATGTAATAAAACATTCAAAACTAAACCTGTATTAAGGCAACATAAAATTGTACATACTGGAGAACGGCCTTATGAGTGTAGTATATGCAATAAAACGTTTTCACATTCAAGTAGTTTAAGACAGCATTTATCACAGCATAATGGTGAACGTCCTTTTGCATGTGAAATATGTAATAAAACATTCAGAATAAAAAAAATGTTGAAACAACATGAAATGATCCATTCTGGATAACGTGCTTATGTGTGCAAAATATGCAATAAAAGATTTACACAGTCAAGTAATTTAAGAAAGCATTCATTAGTGCATACTGAAGAACGACCTTATGAATGTGAGACATGCAATAAAACATTCAAAACAAAACCTATATTAACACAACATGAAAGAGGGCATACTAGAGAACAAACTGCAAAAAAACAGTCAATAAATTAGTTGAATAAGTCTAGAAATTGTCCCACCTTATAATCTTTATCAATCACTCAACTTCATCTCAATTTATATTCATACAGCATATTAATTCACCAGTGGCAAGCATAGCTCACTTGGTAGCATGTCGATGCACACGGCAGGGATCTTCGGATCAAATCCTGTCATTGACTTAGGCTATAGGAAAAAATATGTATATGGAATTTGAATAAAACTTGAGAAAAATAGGAATAACAGAGTTCGAACAGCTGAATTGTATTAGGAGTAAGAAGAGAAATGTTGGAACTGAGCTGAAATTAAAAGAAGAATGAAGAAAAAAATGGAATGAAGCTAGAAGTTAAATAGAATTAGAAATTTGAAAAAGAGCAAGAATTGAAGAAAATAAGAAAGAAGAAAAAATAAGAAGAATATAGAATAGGATACATATATAGATTGAAAATGATATTTTTTTTTTTATATATATATACATTATTTTCATATCTCAGTCAGGCAGAGTTGCCTGGTATGATAAAAATTAGAATGTAAATAAATAAAAATGTTGTAGGTGGCTAAATGCCCAGAGTAAGCGAGGTCAAATAATTTAAATTTATTTAATATATATTTCAGTTACAACTCTGCTTGTTACTCCTCACCAGTGCCTTGTATGTAATTGTTTATTAATATAAATACATAGTACAAATGCTATTTATTTTTGTTTTATTCAAAACCCTACTATTTTTGTAAAATTCTACAAGAAAGAAGTTTATGATCTTCACCAGAAAATCCAATTTGTTAATTTTATGTTTAATCAATCGACAATGGATAACCTGAATATACAGTAAAACCTATTTATTTACGGAGGATACTAGTTTTATGGTTTACTTCACTGTTTATATGAATGGGAAATGGCACTGTCATTACATTATATTTGTTAATTAATTATTTAATAGAAATAGTTTTATTATTGATTTTTTACAAATATCAAATTGTCATCCATACGTCATTATATGCTGTCGAGCGGGATAAAAAGTATTCTATGTCCTTCTCGTGGCTCTAAACTACCTCCCTGCCAAATTTCAGCTAAATCGGTTCAGCCGTTCTTGAGTTATAAGTAACTAACTCGATGTTCTTGTATATATATATATAGATTGTAGGGATAGCAATATATCATTTTTAATTATTGTTTTTGTACATTTTGTTTTGATATGTTGAGGATAAGGCAATGGTCCGAAGAAATTTGTAATATTGTCAGTTTTTAACTGATTCTTTAATTCAAACCGACACTCAACAGTCACAGCATAATTTGCTTCTTAAAAATAAAAATTTCTATATACGGATTGATCAATGTCCATACAGAAATTGAACAGTTCATTTTTAATTCTTCACTAAAATTGTTCAAATTAAATGTTACGTATTCGATACATATTGGAATCCGCGAATAACGAAATTTTTACCCGCGAATATAGGAATTGGGCCGCAATTTTTTTGGCCGCGAATAAGGAACTTCTACTGTATATAAATTTAATTTAATAATTAAATTGTATTAACTCATATTTATATAGTTCATACATATTTTATATAGTTTTTTAATGAAAAGATATTTATTAATTTGTTCCATCTCAAAAACTTTTGTATGTTCAGATTTTATGATTTTTGCTGAAACTGATAATAATTTCGAATTTCAAATTTTGCCGCCGCAAAACTCGCATTTGAAATGAGCTTAATGTTGTCCAACCTGATCACTCGTTGATCAAAACAAAATGGAGGAGAAATGTCAAAGTGTTTTGTGGAATTATAGGTTGAATGAGAAATTTAACATAATAGTAAGAAGGTCAGTGCTAGTATTATATCATATTAAATAATAAACGAATTAGTAAATTTCAAAATATATTAATATACACTTAGACTTCTCTATTGTAACCAAACTATCCTCAAAAATGTCTGATGAAACCGATTTTAACAAAGCAATTAAAATTGAACCGTTTGATGATTATCCTCAAGTGAAACAGGAATTTGATGTTACTGAAAATACATCAGACTTGTGTATGGATAACGATGATATATGTCTGCAGCAATTTTTAAAATCCGAGGTTACAATTGACGAGGAAATAAAACAAGAGACGATTGCTGACCAAGATGATGTGACTAGTACAAACAAAACTGTATTAGATGAAAATTCTTCCATATGTAATGACAAGATAAGTGAATCAAGTACGATAGTAGATAGTACGAACAAATCAATGGAAAAAGTTTCAGGAAAGCGTAAGACAACTAGTAAGTTGAAATATAAATGTAAATCATGCAGTAAAACATTTGTAGCAAAACAAGGCTTAGACCGACATGAAATGATCCATACTGGAGAACGGCCTCATGAGTGCAACATATGCAATAAAAGATTTTCACTGGCAGGTAATTTAAGAGAGCATTTATCAGTGCATAGTGAAGAACGACCTTATGCATGTGACATATGCAATAAAAGATACAAAACAAAACCTAATTTATATCAACATAAAATTGTACATACTGGAAAACGGCCGTATGAGTGCAAAATATGCAATAAAAGATTTTTACAGTTATGTAATTTATCAGTGCATTCATCAGTGCATTCTGAAGAACGACCTTATCCATGTGACATATGCAATAAAACATTCAAAACAAAAGATAAATTAATGCGACATGAAAGAAGACATACTAGAGAACCCTCTGTGAAAAAACAGTCCTTATAATTACACAACTTATATGAATACAGAATATTAATTCTAATTTATGCATTATATTATTCTGTTTGTTACTCATAATTAGTGTATTGTATGTAATTGTTTAATAATATCAATACATAGTACAAATGCTGGTTAAGTAGAACTTCTTTATTCGCGTTTTCTTTAACGGGTTAGGGCAGTGATTCCCAAACTTATTTCGTCTACCGCCCCCTTTCCAGAAAAAATATTACTCAGCGCCCCCAATTTTTTTTTCATTTCAGTAGCAATTAATAAGATATATAAAAATTATTGTATCTGTAAAAGATAAATTGACGAATAAGAAACCAATTTTGATAGAGTACGCTATTTTAATAAATCATAAAACATTCAAAACAAAAAATTGCACCATCAGTGAATTTCAAATTTTCTAGGCCCTGAAGTCACTGTATTGAATTTTTCAGATATATTATGGATATATTTGTAATAAATGCAATTGCAATTGGTTTATCACTGCTGACGGCAAGATTTTGCAAAACAAAAAAAAAAAAAATGAACAAAAAATTTTTTTTCCAAAATCAATTATTTTGTTAAGACAAGCAGAAAGTTTTTTGAATCATTCAAATCGGACGCTTAGTTCTCTCAAAACCTGCCATTTTTCACATATTTAGCTCCGTATCTTCGAAATGGCTGGGCCTGCCTTCGCCAAAAACTAATAAACACTTCTCCCAATCATTACTAATTGAATGTTTTTTAGATCATTCAAATCGGATACTCCGTTCTCTCAAAAATACGATTTCTATTTTCTGCACTCTTTGCTCCGTATCTCCGAAACGGCTGAACCTGCCTTTGCCAAAAACTAATCAGCTCTTTTCCCTATCGATAGGAATCGAATGTTTTTTGAACCATTCAAATCGGTTGATTCGTGCGCCCGAAAACGTGACTGGAAATTTGTATCCATACATACACACACACACATCCATTTTTTCTGAGGTATGCCAAAACGTTCAGAAACCTTCAAAACGTCGAGAAATGTAAAAATTTTCAATTCCGATTTTCGGCTCATTACAATAACTTACCCTACGGGAAGTTAATTAACGGACGTTATCAAAATTAATTCTTTTACTCTTTCTTTTTAAAATAACATCAGAGTTTGAAGTTATAAAACTATATTCAGAACAAAGATACATTCATTATAATTTTAATTTGAGCGATGAATCTGGTGTGCTGCTACCAAATTAGCAATTTTCGGTTCTATATTTGTCAAAAGTAATCTTAAATCACCACGATCGACTATTAGTAATCAACTTCTTTTTGAAGTAAAACTTCTTTAGGCGCGACATGGGTGTAAAAACTTCTTTAGGCGCGACATGGGTTAGCAGTATAATTCGTGAGTTAATAAAAATGTCAGGATCGGAAGAATATTTTATCCCGTCCCCCATAAATAATTGTAGTGCAAATGATCGCAAATAAATAATGAAACATATGAAAAATCTGCGCTGCGTAAGAAATGATAGCTTTGGCTATGTATGTTTTGTGTGTGATCGACTTTGGCTTCAAAGTGGCTTAGAAATATCAAATGATGCTCAAAAACAAATTCTTAATAATGTTTTTTGAATATTGATTCAAATAATCAGGTTGGATGTCAAACTTGTCGAAAGATATTAAATTCGGGTAAAATTCTCACTTTGTGTAAATTTAACGGGTTTTGTATTTCTACCTATACCAAATTATCTACCTAAACTACATACTGTATCTGAAAGGTTAATTTCATCTATACATAGATCAAGCTATGTGCAGGGCTTGATAAATAAAACAAATATAAAAGTATGGCTTCAATTTGTTAGGCAAGACGGATATTACAGCTGTTCAAGGAATGAGATTATATCGTCAGCGAAAAAGTAAAAAAATACAAACAGCAAAATGAATGTATGTTAATTTTAATTACATGAAGTTCTTCAAACACAATTGTTACAGGATGAGTTAATTTGCAAAAACAAGGCGTTGTTTAACATAATCCACTGTGCGAACGAATATTATAGAATTTATTAATCAGCAATTACTTTAAAACGATCATGTCATATTTCAAGTACGACTTTGATTACATTATTGTTTGTAAATATTATACATATTTTTAATGCAATCATAAATATATAATTTATAATTTATCATTATATAAATGTGTATAATGATTGACGACACTAATAAATTAGTGCATCACGAGTGTTACCATATTACTAATAAACATTATTCAAAAATTTTATATGATGTATTTATTTTTACTCAACTTAAGTTTGCTACTTTATACAGTAACAAATAAGTTTTACTTCAATCGCGCACTCTCTTTTTTATAGTATCGATATTTTGCGAACACTAGCTTAAAGATTTAAGTGAATTCCCCTTTAGCGCGTACAAACAATTTTTACTGATCAAAACAAATGTGAATAGCACTAATTTAATTCTTGTTCTTAAAAATTCTTGTTTTTCACCAATTTTAATAGGTTTTAGAGATTAGGAACAAATCACCCATTTTTGTATAAGATCAATGTCTTTTTTTACACGTTTTTTTTTTTACACGGCTTCTTCTGGAACCAATCAACCGTGTAAAAACAGACTTAGGTATATATATTTGTCCTCCCTTCAAAAACTTTTGTATATTGAGATTTTATATTTTTTGTTGAAATTAATAATAGTTTCGGATTTCAAATTTTGCCGCCGAAAAACTCACAGCTGATTTGTTTTTAACTTCAGCTTGATCTTTTGTTTATAAAAGCAAAATGGAGGACATATGTCAAAGTGGTTTATGGATTTATTAATGTTATCGAAGATAAATTTAGTAAAAACGTCAGTGTTAGCATTATATCATATTAAACAATAAACGAATTAGTAAATATCGAAACACATATATTATTATACACTTAGACTTCTCAATTTTTAAGAATTCATCACCAATTAGTTTATTGTAACCAAAATAACCTCAAAATGTCTGAAGAAACAGATTTCAACAAAACAATAAAAACCGAACCGTTCGATGATTATCCTCAGGTGAAACAGGAATTTGATGATTGTGAAAATACATCAGATTTGTATATGGATGATGATATATGTCTGCAGCAATTTCTAAAATCTGAGGTTACATTTGACGAGGAAATAAAACAAGAGACGATTGATGACCAAGATGACGTGGCTAGTACAAACAAAACTGTATTAGATGAAAATTCTTCCATATGTAACGACGAGATCAGTGAATCAAGTACGATAGTAGATAGTACGAACAAATCAATGGAAAAAGTTTCAGGAAAACGTAAGACAACTAGTAAGTTGAAATATAAATGTAAATCATGCAGTAAAACATTTGTAGCAAAACAAGGCTTACAACGACATGAAATGATTCACACTGGAAAACGCCCTTATAAGTGCAAAATATGTAATAAAACATTTTCACTGTTAAGTAATTTAAAAAGACATTTATCAGTTCATACTGGAGAACGGCCTCATGAGTGCAAAATATGCAATAAAAGATTTTTACAGAAAAGTAATTTAAGACAGCATTTATCAGTGCATACTGAAGAACGACCTTACACATGTGAAATATGTAATAAAACATTCAAAATGAAAAAATTTTTAAAACAACATAAAGCAGTCCATTCTGCAGAACGCTCTTATGAGTGCAAACTATGCAATAAAACATTTTTACATTTAAGTTATTTAAGACAGCATTTATCAGTTCATAGTGAATGTCCTTATGTGTGCGAAATATGCAATAAAACATTCGCAGCAAAAAATAGCTTAATCCGACATGAAATGATCCATACTGGAGAACAGCCTCATGAGTGCAAAATATGCAATAAAAGATTTGCACTGATATTTAATTTAAGAAAGCATTCATCAGTGCATACTGAAGAACGACCTTATGAATGTGAGACATGCAATAAAACATTCAAAACAAAACAAACTTTAACTCAACATGAAATAGTACACACTGGAGAACGCTGTCATGAGTGTAATATATGCAATAAAACATTTTCACAGTTAAGTAGTTTAAAACAGCATTTATCAGTGCATTCTGAAGAATTCTTATCCATGTGACATATGCAATAAAAGATACAAAACAAAAGATATATTAATGCGACATGAAAGAGAACATACTTGAGAATAAACTGTAATAAAACAGTCAACAAAACTGATAAATTAGCCTAGAAACTGTCCGGCCTTATAATCCTTATCAATCACTCAACTTATATTGATACACAGGATATTAAATGCAATTTATTTAATATATATTTCAGTTATTCTAAACTAGTGCCTTGTATGTAATTGTTTAATAATATCAATACATAGTACAAAATCTATTTATTTTTGTTTTATTCAAAACATTACTATTTTTGTTTTTTAATTCTTCAATATTCTTAGTAAAACTCCTTTAGGCGCGACTAGGGTGTAAATCTGTGCAAATGCAACGGAAGTGCGTTACGGCACAAATAAGAGTCGAGTGTGAATGATTCGTCATTCGTTCTCGATGATATCATTTCTATACGGGTCGATTGTGATTGGTCGTCGTGTCACGTGCGAGGGCGTACGCCACATACGTAATTAGATTTTAAGGTTACGTCCTAGTAGAAATCTCGATTTGATTAAAAAATGTCTGAATCAGTAGAATAATTTATCCCGTCATCAGTAAATAATTATAGCGAAAATAAAAAGCAAATGAAAAATCTGTGCCGTATAAGAAACGTAAGTTTATTGAAATAATTTGTATTATTCGTGGTTACTATATATTTTTAGAAATTAATTTTATAGGCAAGAGAGATATTACAGCTGTTCAAAGAATGAGACTGTATCGCCAACGAAAAAGTAAAACAATCAATGAATGTATGTTAATTTTAATTACATGAAGTTCGTCAAACACAATTATTACATGATAAGTGAAATTGTGAAAACAATATTTGTTTAGGCGTTGTTTAACATAATTAATCCACTATGTATAGAATTTATTAATCAGCAATTACTTAATTACTCTAATAAAGGTTCAAGTCCTAAATGCAGTGCTGGATTACCCCAGAGGCCCGTGAGGCCCGGGCCTAAGGCGGCACAATTTAGGGGGCGGCAAAATTTTCAAAAATTGATTTTTTTAAGTTTTCATTTTTTTTTTTTAATTTTAATTTTTGGTACGAGAATAATATATAAAAACAATTTAAGTAAAATTTCAGGGATGGGGCGGCATTTTTGTCAGTGCCCCAGGGCGCCAAATTTCTAAATTCGGCCCTGTAGATTTCCATAGCTTAGATAAATAAGCATGCTTTTTTAGGTCTAATGCAAACTTTCTCAATATTACGGATTATAGAAAAATTCCAAATTCTGTATGTATTAGTCTGTATATTTATAAATTGCCATTCCTTACAGACAGCGAAATAATAATTTTTATATTATATTTTTAAATTTAGAATTTTTTAGAATTCAGTAAGTTGCGAGACTAAGAACATTTTAAGAAAATCAGCTCGCACAAGTTACTCAAACATTTAATAAAATTTAGTTGTCTATGTCTATTGTTGCACAGTGCACACAATCGTTTAAAATTAATAATTAATTTTCTATGAAGTGATAACGGCAAGGGCAGCAGTAAGGTGTAATCGATGCCTTAACGGATATTTTGGATATTTTAGATATTTAACACCGAGATAAAAATTCTTATAGAAAAGATAATATTTATAAATTAAATCTTATATTCATTCGCGTTTCTTATACGCTAACGCCTACATCATAGGTTCCTATTCGTGTATTTTTATAGATTTACGTTGCAATCTATACTACACGCCTTACATCTATACCATACGCTATATTTCATCATATACCCTCAAATCCCTACATTGTATACCGAATACACCTAACCTATATCTACTATATATCCTATTACCTATAATTTTCCATACATTAACACTACCGAGAATCAAACCCGGGTCCGCCGCGTGGCATGCGACGACCTTAACCACTAGACCACCGTAATGCTACAATCAACCGTCTTTTTTCGCGTGTCGTCGCGCCACCTCAGTATTAATTACCTAATTAATTACAAAATGACCCGCGGTTAATAATATTATATTATTAATGAGGGTAGCCGATAGGGTAGCGGTTAAGGTGCGCATGTCGTAGGTCACCAGTATTGAAAATTTTCATTATCAAAACTATACAAAATGTTATGACATGAATATTGTTTTTCTTAAAAGCTCATAGCCGCTTTGATTCCCACAAGTGCATACATGTTTTATATGGTTTCTTAATGAAGAGACATATATATTTATTTGTTTCCTCTCAAAAACTTTTGTATGTTCAGATTATATGTGTTTTGTTAAAACTAATAATAATTTCGGATTTTAAATTTTGCCGCCGAAAAACTCGCATTTGAAATGTACTTAATGTTGCCCAACCTGATCACTCGATGATAAAAAGAAAATGGAGGGGAAATGTCAAAGTGGTTTATGGAATTATTAAAGTTGAATTCGAAGATAAATTTAGTAAAAAGGTCAGTGTTAGCATTACATCATATTAAACAATAAACGAATTAGTAAATATCGAAACATATTATTATACACTTAGACTTCTCTATTGTAACCAAACTAGCCTCAAAAATGTCTGATGAAACAGATTTTAACAAAACAATTAAAACCGAACCGTTCGATGATTATCCTCAAGTGAAACAGGAATTTGATGATTGTGAAAATACATCAGATTTGTATATGGATGATGATATATGTCTGCAGCAATTTCTTAAATCTGAGGTTACAATTGACGAAGAAATAAAACAAGAGACGATTGACGACCAAAATGATGTGACTAGTACAAACAAAACTGTTTTAGATGAAAATTCTTCCATGTGTAACGACGAGATCAGTGAATCAAGTATGATAGTTGATAGTACGAACAAATCAATTGAAAAAGTTTCAGGAAAACGTAAGACAACTAGTAAGTTGAAATATAAATGTAAATCATGCAGTAAAACATTCACAGCAAAACAAGGCTTACAACGACATGAAATGATTCACACTGGGGAACGCCCTTATGAGTGCAAAATATGCAATAAAACATTTTTGCAGTTAAGTACTTTAAGAAACCATTTAACAGTCCATACTGGAGAACGTCCTTATGCATGTGAAATATGTAATAAAACATTCAAAATGAAAAAATTTTTAAAACGACATAAAGTGGTCCATTCTGCAGAACGCTCTCATGAGTGCAAAATATGCAATAAAACATTCAAAACAAAACAAACATTAATTCAACATAAAATAGTACATACTGAAGAACGACCTTATGCATGTGAAATATGTAACAAAACATTCAAATTGAAAAAAATGTTAAAACAACATAAAGTGCTCCATTGTGGAGAACGCTCTCATGAATGCAAAATATGCAATAAAACATTTTCACATTCAGGTAATTTAAGACAGCATTTATCAGTGCATAGTGAAGAACGACCTTACACATGTGAAATATGTAATAAAACATTCAAAATGAAACAAATTTTAAAACAACATAAAATGATTCACACTGAAAAAAGTCCTCATGAGTGCAAAATATGCAATAAAAGATTTTCAATGATAGGTTCTTTAATACGGCATTCATTAGTGCATACTGAAGAACGACCTTATCGATGTGACATATGTAATAAAACATTCAAAATGAAACAAATTTTAAAACAACATAAAATGATTCACACTGAAAAAAGTCCTCATGAGTGCAAAATATGCAATAAAAGATTTTCAATGATAGGTTCTTTAATACGGCATTCATTAGTGCATACTGAAGAACGACCTTATGAGTGCAAAATATGCAATAAAAGATTTTCACAGGCAGGTAATTTAAGAAAGCATTTATCACTGCATATTGAAGAACGACCTTATGAATGCAAGACATGCAATAAGACATTCAAAACTAAACATTTATTAAGGCAACATGAAAGAAGACATACTAGGAAACAAACTGTTAAAAAACAGTCAACAAAACTGTTGAATCAGTCTAGAAACTGTCCTACCTAATAATCCTTATCCATTACACAACTTATATTGATACACAGGATATTAAATGCAATTTATTTAATATATATTTCAGTTACAACTGTGTTTGTTACTTCTAACCAGTGCCTTTCATGTAATTGTTTATCAATTTAAATACACAGTACAAATACTGTTTATTTTTGTTTCATTCAAAACATTACTATATTAATTATAGGCAACATTTTTGAAGCAATTATTTTGGGTAGAAAAATTCAAGGTTATATTGTTTTTTTACCGCGAATGCTATATATTAATTCTTTTTGAATATGTTATACCTTTTAAAAGTCTTCAATTTCCAATACGTATATCTTATGCTATAAATCACAAAGGCAGACGATGAATTTTTGTGTGATAGATTTGGAAAATCAATGTTTTAGTCGTGAATAAACAAAAAATCATTCATTTATACATATACGAGGTGTGTTCAAAAAGTACCCGGAATTACTAATAATTAAATTTCGCGGGTCTGGAGTGTCTGATTGTCAAAAATTTTTTTTTATTGTGTTGGTATACATGCCCCTAAAGTATGATGAAATTTTCAGCTATATTCACTGTTTACTTTGTCTGTGGTAGTCGCTAAGGTTCGACGTGTTTTTCTGAGCTCGGCGATTTTTACAATGGAAGAATTGAAAAAGTCAAAGAATTTGTATTAAATTTTGCGTAAAAAATGAAATAAAGTGTTGCAAAGTGCAAAAATTCACCAGATATGGCTCCGTGTGACTTTTTCCTATTCCCAAAGTTGAAGAGACCCATGAAAGGACGGCGGTTTTCCTCGATTGAAGAAAATCGCTGAGAGTGCTCAAGGACATATCAAAAAGTGAATATCAAGGGTGCTTCGAAAATTGGAAAAAACGCTGGCATAAGTGTATTATATCTGGGGGGGACTACTTTGAAGGGGACCACATTAATGTAGACGAATAAATAAATATTTTTTTGAAAAAACGAAAATTACGAAAACTTTTTGAACAGACCTCGTACATCTACAGGAATGACGAAAATTATTGGATAACCCTTGGCAATTAAAATAAATTGAGCTATTGGAACTAAATTTGTTCGATTAATTGCAGTGTATAATTTTTAATATACAATTTTATTGAACATATTTTAATATTTATTAAAGGGATAATTAAAGTGTTAACTGTGGGAAACGAGAATGACCATTTTATTTGTAGCAGTTCCACATTTAACAATAATTATTATTTTTAACTGAACGGTGTAAATATAAGTATAGGATATTAAAAAAAGGTAGATGTGGGTACAGGACAACGTCTGTCGGGTCATCTAGTATATATATATACATATATATATTAACAAAGTCTAGTAATCGGGCATAACATCAATAAGGAACATGAATTTCTTTCAAAAATGTATTTTAAATCCATACGTTTCGGCTATAATCCTAGCCTTCATTCAGTGGAAACTAAAAATAAAATTAAAAACTAAAACAATTGAATTGGAGTGAAAAGAAAAAATGAAATAGTAAATAGTACTTACATATAGTTAGTTATTCTTAGTGTTAATTGGAAAATTTTAATAATCCATGGTATCAAGATACGGTAATGCACTACACTGTAGTATATATAATATATGTATTATAAACATTAAACTTGTAATTACACAATATTTTCACAAAATACTAATTTAAAAAATCACAATTGGATAGTGTGTTGTTCGTAGACTGGTTGAAGATGTAATGGAGAAAGGACTTATTAAAAAATATTTTTTACCAAGATTCTACACATGTGTAGAACGAATTGCGAATCCTTTGCGCGACGCTTTTATTGTTTTGTAAGAAATTTGGACATGTTATCTAAATAAAAGAGATTTGTGTCGCACAGCGTGTTAAGTTCAGAATCATACATATATATATATATATATATATATATATATATATATACCAGCTCGACCGAAAAACGTTGTTAAAAAGCCATAAAAAATTATAATATGTTTGTCGTTGCAAGTCTCAGCATAATCTGAAACTGAAAAATATGAACATTCACTTTTCAATTATGTTGCGATTTCAAATTTGCCGCCGAAAAAGTCGCTGCTGATTTGTGATTAACTTCAACTTGATCTGTTGTTTATGAAACAAAATGGAGGAGAAATGTCAAAGTGGTTTATGGAATTGTTAAAGTTAAATTCGAAGATAAATTAAGTTAAAAGGTCAGTGCTAGTGTTAAATCATATTAAACAACAAACAAAATAGTAAAAATCGTAACATATATATTTTTATACACTTAGACTTCTTAATTTTTAAGAACTCATCACCAGTTAGCCTGTTGTAACCAAACTAACCTCAAAAATGTCTGAAGAAACAAATTCAAACACAACAATTAAAATCGAACCGTTCGATGATTATCCTCAAGTGAAACAGGAATTTGGTGATTGTGAAAATACATCAGATTTGTATATGGATGATGATATATGTCTGCAGCAATTTCTTAAATCCGAGGTTACAGTTGACGAGGAAATAAAACAAGAGACGATTTATGACCAAGAAGACGTGACTAACACAAACAAAACAGTTTTAGATGAAAGTTCTAATATAAGGGTTGAAGAGGTCAGTAATTCAAGTAATTTAGTGGATAGCACAAACAAATCATTTGAAGAAGTTTCAGCAAAAACTAAAACAACTAATAACTTGAAACCGTATAAATGTGAATCATGCAATAAAACATTCAAAACAAAAAATATCTTAAAACAACATGAAAGGATCCATTCTGCAGAACGCTCTTATAAGTGCAAACTATGCAATAAAAGATTTTCACAGTCAAGTAATTTAAGACAGCATTTATCAGTTCATACTGGAGAACGTCCTTATGTGTGCGAAATATGCAATAAAACATTCACAACAAAAAATAGCTTAAAACAACATGAAATGATCCACACTGGGGAACGGCCTCATGAGTGCAACATATGCAATAAAAGATTTGCACTGATAAGTAATTTAAGAAAGCATTCATCGGTGCATAGTGAAGAACGTGCTTATGATTGTGAAATATGCAATAAAAAATTCAAAAGAAAACAAACATTAACTCAACATGAAATAGTACATACTGGAGAACGCTGTCATGAGTGTAATATATGCAATAAAAGATTTGCACTGATAAGTAATTTAAGAAAGCATTTATCAGTACATACCGGAGAACGTCCTTATATTTGTGAAATATGTAATGAAAAATTCAGATTGAAAGAATACTTAAAACAACATGAAATGATCCATACTGGAGTACGCCCTCATGAGTGTGTAATATGCAAAAAAACATTTTTAGTGTTAAGTCATTTAAAAAGTCATATATTAATGCATAATGAAGAACGTGCTTATGATTGTGAAATGTGCAATAAAAAATTCAAAAGAAAACAAGCATTAACTGAACATAAAATAGTACATACTCGAGAACGGCCTCATGAGTGCAAAATATGCAATAAAAAATTTTCAATGGCTAGTTCTTTAAGACAGCATTTATCACTGCATATTGAAGAACGACCTTATGAATGCAAGACATGCAATAAAACATTCAAAACTAAATGTTCATTTAGGCAACATGAAAGAAAACATACTAGAGAACAAACTGTAAAAAAACAGTCAACAAAACTGATAAATTAGCCTAGAAACTGTCCGGCCTTATAATCCTTATCCATTACACAACTTATATTGATATACCATATTAAATGCAATTTATTTAATATATATTTCAGTTACAACTCTGGTTGTTACTCCTAACCAGTGCCTTGTATGTAATTGTTTATTAATATCAATACATTGTATAAATGCTATTTATTTTTGTTTTATTCAAAACATTACTATTTTTGTTTTTCAATTCTTCAATATTCTTAGTAAAACTCTTTTAGGCGCGACTAGGGTGTAAATCTGTGCAAATGCAACGGAAGTGCGTTACGGCACAAATAAGAGTCGAGTGCCAATGATTTGTCATTCGCTCTCGATGATATCATTTCTATACGGGTCGATTGTGATTGGTCGTCGTGTCACGTGCGAGGTTTCTTTGGTTGTATGCGTACGCCACATACGTAATTAGATTTTAAGGTTACGTCCTAGTAGAAATCTTGATTTGATTAAAAAATATATGGATCGGTAGAATAATTTATCCCCTCATCAGTAAATAATTATAGCGAAAATAAAAAAACAAATGAAAAATCCGTTCCGTGTAAGAAACGTAAGTTTATTGAAGTAATTTGTATTATTCGTGGTTACTATATATTTTTAGAAATTATATTTATAGGCAAGACAGATATTACAGCTGCTCAAAGAATGAGATTATATCGCCAGAAAAAAAGTAAAAAAAAAATACAAGCAGTCAATGAATGTATGTTAATTTTAATTACATGAAGTTCTTCAAACACAATTATTACATGATGAGTGAAGTTGCGAAAACAATATTTGTTTAGGCATTGTTTAACATAATGATACATGTTAAAACATGCTTGTTAATATCAATTTTAGTTTAAAACCAATTAGGCGAAACCCCCAGTATTTTTTATTCCGGGCAATTTTAAAAAATCGAATTAGTTTTTTGTTTAATAAAATATTATTTAAAAAAACTGAGAACGTCTATCGATTTGTTACTTAGACGTGTCCTTGTCATACTTGCGACCAAATTATGTTTAATTGTTGTTAAGGCCTAATATAATAATTATAAGTTTTTTATTCTTTAATTTGGCTTCTAGGTTTTAAAACTCTTTTTTTTAAGTTTGATTAGAGAAAGTTACTTCTTTAAGAAGACACTGATTTAAATTAATATATACACTATGGTATAAAAATCTAAATTAATATATACATTTGACAAAAGATTACAGAAAGCCTTTCTGGGAAATATTGCAGACTGATAAGATTCCAAATGCTATTGAACCGATATTGTTTCAAGAATCAAAATGCTTTCATCCATTTTTTATATTTGGCTATATTTGTCATTTTCCATTTATACAGTGAAAACCGAATTTTTCTACTAAAAAACCGTTTTTTGAATCCCATAATTTTCGTCAAAAAACCGGTTTTCAAAACCTATAAGCCGTATATAACTTTTTATTATATAAACATGTGTCCAAGTAAATTACAAAGATTGATAAAGTATTATTTCTTTGATGAAATAACGGAACAAAAATTTGTCTTGCATCTTTAGTTTAATACGGGGGTTTTAGAAATTATAATGTTTGTCATAATAGATGGTTTAGGTTTGCTAGATGCAATAATAAGATTTTTAATACCAAATATTTTATTACCTTTCTGTAAATATTATTATGAAACTATTTTCAAAATGGTCATCCATTATCGATTTACATGCTTAAACTTTAAGTAGCATTTTATAATACTCATTGTTTATTAAATGATTTTCTTTTTGTAATATATTTATTGTGTTATATAGGTAGTATATTTTAATAAATAGTGTATTACAATATTGCACTTGTTAACAAAAACTATATCAAACGGAACAATTACCAGTGAAATATATATATCTTATATATAAAAATGGAGCTCTCGATCAAATGATTCGGTAAAACTCGAAAACGGCTAAACCGATTTGGCCAGTCTTAGACTTGAAAAAATCGTGCCAATCAATAGGTTGTCGGAAAGGTGAGATATTATTTCAAAATCGCGTAGAAACTTTACATTTTTAATTTAAAATTTTTTGTAGATGAGTAATTTGAATAAACGTTCTTGACAGATGATGTTCAATTACGTTCGATAGGATGTTTTACGTGAATTTTATTTAATTATGATTTATTTATGGTAAGTAGTTTTGTTTGTAGTTTTATTTACTAGAAACTCAAAATATCAACTTTTTTACTACCAAGGTAAAAGAATAACATAGCATTGCCATAACAACGCTATGTTATTGCAGAATTGACCCTTATATTTATTATTAAATTCTATATTATTATTTATTCTTTATATATGTACCAGCTCGCCCAAAAAACGTTGTTAAAAAGCCATAAAAAATTATAATATGTTTGTCGTTACAAGTCTCAGCATAATCTGAAACTGAAAAATATGAACATTCACTTTTCAATTGTGTTGCGATTTCAAATTTGCCGCCGAAAAACTCACAGCTGATTTGTTTTTAACTTCAACTTGATCTGTTGTTTATAAAACAAAATGGAGGAGAAACGTCAAAGTGGTTTATGGGATTATTAAAGTTAAATTCGAAGATAAGTTAAGTAAAAAGGTCAGTGCTAGTGTTAAATCATATTAAACAATAAACGAATTAGTAAATATTGTAACACATATATTATTATTATACACTTAGACTTCTCAATTTTTAAGAACTCATCACCAGTTTGTTTATTATAACCAAACTAACCTCAAAAATGTCTGAAGAAACAAATTCAAACACAACAATTAAAATCGAACCGTTCGATGATTATCCTCAAGTGAAACAGGAATTTGGTGATTGTGAAAATACATCAGATTTGTATATGGATGATGATATATGTCTGCAGCAATTTCTTAAATCCGAGGTTACAGTTGACGAGGAAATAAAACAAGAGACGATTTATGACCAAGAAGACGTGACTAACACAAACAAAACAGTTTTAGATGAAAGTTCTAATATAAGGGTTGAAGAGGTCAGTAATTCAAGTAATTTAGTGGATAGCACAAACAAATCATTTGAAGAAGTTTCAGCAAAAACTAAAATAACTAATAACTTGAAACCGTATAAATGTGAATCATGCAATAAAACATTCAAAACAAAAAATATCTTAAAACAACATGAAAGGATCCATTCTGCAGAACGCTCTTATAAGTGCAAACTATGCAATAAAAGATTTTCACAGTCAAGTAATTTAAGACAGCATTTATCAGTTCATACTGGAGAACATCCTTATGTGTGCGAAATATGCAATAAAACATTCACAACAAAAAATAGCTTAAAACAACATGAAATGATCCATACTGGAGAACGGCCTCATGAGTGCAAAATATGCAATAAAAGATTTGCACTGATAAGTAATTTAAGAAAGCATTCATCAGCGCATACTGAAGAACGTGCTTATGATTGTGAAATATGCAATAAAAAATTCAAAAGAAAACAAACATTAACTCAACATGAAATAGTACATACTGGAGAACGCTGTCATGAGTGTAATATATGCAATAAAAGATTTTCACAGTCAAGTCATTTAAGAAGGCATTTATCAGTGCATACCGGAGAACGTCCTTATATTTGTGAAATATGTAATGAAAAATTCAGATTGAAAGAATACTTAAAACAACATGAAATGATCCATACTGGAGTACGCCCTCATGAGTGTGTAATATGCAAAAAAACATTTTTAGTGTTAAGTCATTTAAAAAGTCATATATTAATGCATAATGAAGAACGTGCTTATGATTGTGAAATGTGCAATAAAAAATTCAAAACAAAACAAGCATTAACTGAACATAAAATAGTACATACTGGAGAACGGCCTCATGAGTGCAAAATATGCAATAAAAGATTTACACAGTCAAGTAGTTTAAAAGGGCATTTATCAGTGCATAGTGAAGAACGACCTTATGAATGTGAGACATGCAATAAAACATTCAAAACTAAATCTATATTAAGGCACCATAAAATTGTACATACTGGAGAACGGCCTTATGAGTGCAAAATATGCAATAAAAGATTTTCACAGGCAGGTAATTTAAGAAAGCATTTATCACTGCATATTGAAGAACGACCTTATGAATGCAAGACATGCAATAAGACATTCAAAACTAAACATTTATTAATGCGACATGAAATAGGACATAGTAGGAAACAAACTGTAAAAAAACAGTCCTTATAATTTCACAACTTATATGAATACAGGTTATTAATTCTAATTTGTGCATTATATTACTCTGTTTGTTATTCATAATTAGTGTATTGTATGTAATTGTTTAATAATATAAATACATAGTACAAATGCTGGTTAAGTAGAACTTCTTTATTAGCGTTTTCGCAATTCGCGGTCAAAAAAATTGCGACCCAATTCCTATATTCGCGGCTTCCTATATCAAACCCAAAATTCTATGTAAATGCCGTCATTTTTGAACAAATGAAGAAAACTTTGAACGGAGATGTGCGGATTAGTTTTTAGCAAAGGCAGGTCTAGCCTTTAGTCTATATATATGAGAATCAGTCTTCAGGGCAATACATCAATTAAAAACTTGTATGAACTTATAACATTTTTATTGTTCTAATCTAATCTAATCTAAATCTAATGTTGAATTTTTCCTTTATTACAGATATGTCGATGATATAATTACTTGCATTCCTGAAAATAACTTTGATTCTTTGTTAAAATTTTTTAACTCTTTTAACACTATTCCTACCGCGACCGGTCAAATGACCGGTCATGCAAAATCTATATTTTTCAGTATTGATTGAAGAGTTAATGCTAGTTTAAGAGTTTATAAATACAAATACAAAATATTTCTTTTGTTTTAGAATGCGAAATCAGCATTTTATTCTATTTTATCCAATTTTTTACGATTTTTTTTCTTAGAGTGTATTTTCTGCACACGCACTTTTACGTTTTTGGCTGATTTTGTTCGCCCTATCATCTTTCTGAAACATTATCTGGAATATTTTCTTTTAGGGAATCTGTTTTGATCTTGTTGATTTTTTTCTGAATTCTTGTTGGAACTATACGGGAAGTTAATTGGAATAGAAAGTCCTTGTACATCGTCTTCCCGTAATTTCTTTATGTGAAAACAATGGATTTATCATGAATAAATACAAGGTAATGTAAATCTTTGATAAATTCTCTCTAAAATTCATATTTTACCGAAAGATTTCTGACTACTTTATGAATGACATCTACACCAAACACGACGCTAATACCAATTGAATTGACTCCCATATTAGTGTAATTTTTTCAACATATGTGTATGTAAGTGGAAATTAGAATCTTCTTTCTTAGCTTCCAAAATTGTAAATATTATTTGAGTGAAGTCCTTGATTTTTAGTTCTACCAGTATTTGTAGATGTTATATTGCTTCAATTGTACCTACCATCACAATTTCTTTTTTTACTAAAAGTTTAGCTATAAGTAGGATGGTAAAAACGTTTAAATTTTTTTGCATCAAACTAGCGATTTTGATAATACGGTTTCATTGCAATGAAACCATGGTTATAAATCTTCAAAGAATTTCTCAGTTTTCTACGTATTAGTCTATTAACTTCCTGCGGGCGTTTCCCTTTATATTTGAATCTTTAAAGCTTAATCTTCTGCAAGCAATGTCATTAGGTTCTTTGATCCGAACCAAAACTATTGTAAAGAATCAGTATTTATATATAGAGACTCACCATCAACTCATTATCACCAATTCATTACCAAATAAATACTGAAAAGAAAAAAAAATTTCTTTTACTATAATTATCTTTTAATAATTTTCTGTTCCTGCATTTTCTTCAATCGATCCATCGTAGGTTTAAACACTCACATTTTTAAAGTTGGATATATAGTTTTATCAAACAGTAATATTTTTTGCATTGATAATCATAATAATATCATAGAAAGATACATATATAAAATCAAAACAAGGACTAAAATAATATAAAGTTATATTGGAACTTTTAATTTAGGAAACTGTAAACCGATTTTTTAAATATCAGTTTTAGTTTTCAATATAATTTGATGTGTTAATACCAAGCAAATTACAAAGTGTAATTACTACGTTAATCTAACGTAACCAGAATAACATTGCGTGTACGTAACATAGAAGTCACACATATGTTATACACATACACATACTATCGCAGCCATTTTGTTGCTCGGTTACGTAACGGTTTCGTTTTAGTTGCGTTTTCAAATTACAAACTAAACGTGCATGTGTCCTTGATGAAACGTTTTCTTTACTGTATCGATTTAGGCATATGATACTTTTTTTATAAATACCTAATTAGAGCATTCTAAGCTAGAAGCATATTTAAAATTTGGAAAATGTAGAAGATTTATTTCAAACATCATTTCATATAATATCTTAAGATCTTTGCAAGTTGTCTAAACCATTTTACATATATTTGTGATATTGCTCATCGATTTACTATATACATCATGCAAACTTAAAAATTCTGATCAATATGTAATAATATATCGTCATTCAGTATATATAAATATCTATATGAGTAATTAACATTAAATTAGTTTTAAGATAAGTTATATATTTATTTATAAAATAATTCTAAATCAATGATTTCATATTCAAACATTTTATGTTAAGACATATTTTAATAATGGATTATACTAGACGGTTATCAAAATTTTACACCCCATTTGTGCGATTTGCTGGGCATAATTATATTTACATCGTATATTGAACAGTTACTAGAATTTTATACTACGTTTTCCTGAATATTATTGAACATGTATTGAATAAATTTACACCTTACCTTTATTGAAAATACATGTTTGTCGATAATAATACGTGGTCTTTTACAACAATTTTGATTGCTATCAATGTAGTTAAACCAACCTTCGGATTCAGAACAAAACCTATCAATTTGTTGTTTGGATTTCTTAGTAAAAAAGACATTGAGCAAAAATGAGAAAACCCACTTTGTATACCGTAGAAGTGCAATATTTATACACCTTGCCTCATATGCGCAGCGTGCATACAGAATAGGAAAAAATGCATATAAATTTGCAGAAGACAATTTTTACCACTCTAAATTCTTCTGAATTTACATTTTCTCGTAAGTTCGATCATGTTCTTAACAATTAATTTTAAATTATGTTCTTACCACAAAAAAATGCCGTCCGAACATCGTCTTTCGTACTACCGGTCAAATGACCGGTCGCGGTAGGTAAGACAGTATACAATTTTTTTTCCAAAAATAAAAAATGAAAATACAAATTTACATTGAAAAATGTATCATACTCACATATTAGGAAAAGTCATGAAGTTTGATGACGATTCAATTACGTTTAATATGAAAAATACTAATAGAAAAATCAAAAACGGTCATTTGACCGGTCCCGGTAGGAATAGTGTTAAACGTAATTGAATGGTCATCAGTCTTCATGACTTTTCCTAATATGTGAGTATGATACATTTTTCAATGTAAATTTGTTTTTTCAATTTTTACTTTAAAAAAAAAAATTTATACTGTCTTACCTATTGCGACCGGTCATTTGACCGGTAGTACGAAAGACGATGTTCGGACGGCATTTTTTGAAGTAATTGTTAAGAATATGATCGAACTTACAAGAAAATGTAAATTCAGAAGAATTTAGAGTGGCAAAAGCTGCCTTCTGCAAATTTATATGCATTTTTGAAGTAAAACTTCTTTAGGCGCGACATGGGTGTAAAAACTTCATTAGGCGCGACACGGGTGTAAATCCGTACAAATGCAACGAAAACGCCAACGTGAAGTTGAACACTACGACGCTAGTAGGCGTAGCTATCGCAATTATTCGATCTAGTATGCGAGCAAAACAAAAAATACATCAAATGCCAAATCATATGTCAAAAACAAATAAAAAATGTGTCGACTTTCACTTGAGTTTTGTATTTAGCTCGTAGTCTCTAAACATTTTTTGAAGTAAAACTTCTTTAGGCGCGACATGGGTTAGGTTGGATAAAATAATCAGGTTGGATGCCAAACTTGTCAAAAGATATTAAATTCGGGTAAAATTCCCACTTTGTGTAAGTTTAACGGGTTTGTTTTTCCGCCTATACCAAATTATCTATCTAAACTAGATACTGTATCTGAAAGGTTAATTTCACCTAGGTTGTGTTTCATGCAAATTAGACGATTGCGACATGCAAATGGACAATTTGGAATGTTTGGCCAAATTATAAATGTGCCTGTTGACATTAATAATATGGTTAATTTATTACCTCGTAATATTGATGATGATCATTGCATTAACGTTCACATAAAAAAGCAAATGATTCATAGATCAAGCTATGTGCAGGGCTTGATAAATAAAACAAATATAAAAGTATGGCTTCAATTTGTTAGGCAAGACGGATATTACAGCTGTTCAAGGAATGAAATTATATCGTCAGCGAAAAAGTAAAAAAATACAAACAGTAAATGAATGTATGTTAATTTTAATTACATGAAGTTCTGCAAACACAATTGTTACAGGATGAGTTAATTTGCAAAAACAATAGTTGTTTTGGCGTTGTTTAACATAATCCACTATGTGAATGAATATTATAGAATTTATTAATCAGCAATTACTTTAAAACGATCATGTCATATTTCAAGTACGACTTTGATTACATTATTGTTTGTAAATATTATACATATTTTTAATGTAATCATAAATATATAATTTATCGTTATATAAATGTGTATAATGATTGAGGACACTATTGCATCACGAGTGTTACCATATTACAAATAAACATTATTCAAAATTGTTATACGATGTATTTATTTTTACTTAAATGCCATTTTGTACAGTAGCAAATAAGTTTTACTTCAATCGCGTGCGATCCTTACGCGCACTCTTTTTTTATTATTTAAGATATCCAAAATTGCATCTTAAACTTCTCCTAATCGATATCGTGAGGGCCGAATTGTATGTATTCATCTTTACTTTCCCATTTGTTGTTATAAAGTGAAATTTTTACGAATTTTAAAAATACTGTGGAAAGATTACTAAAAGATGCAAAGACATTATATATTGAAAAATAAAACTATATTGATAATTTAATATCCGAATCTTATGTAGGCGTGCGCATCGCATTAAAGGTAGGACCGGCCTTGATTAATACTTAATTTAATATTTTAAGGGAATTAATTTGTCATATTTGTTCATATGTGTATAATTCGATCTGCCATACG